TACTGCTGGAGCACAGTTTGGTTGGTTGGGGGGCTTTCCATCATGCAGCCCCCCCCGCTGAAAGTTAGTGACTGACAGATTAAGCACAAAGAAGATAACAGCACAAAGATGAGGAGACCTGACTTTGTGCTTTCTTTGCATAAGCACTACGCCGGTGTTTACAAACATACTGTATGAGGCTACATGGGTGCATAGGCCATCGTACATGCCATTACCATGGTATAGTAGTAGAGGATGCTGTTGACTGCTTGGAAAAAAAAGACTGTGAAGGGGCAAGTGTGGAGACCAGCACTTCAGTGAGGGAGGTTATAGCATGCACAAGCTACAGAACCCGTGCCTTAAAGACTGGCTCCCAGTGTGCGGAAAAGGCGCCTAATTTTATATAGCCTGTCTTGGTTTCTATGTTTATTTATAATGCACAACCTGCAATTAAGGAGCCCAAGCTCAGTGTTGGAGGGACTAAGGGCTTGTGCCATAAGGGTATCGATTTCTAGCAGAGCCAGCATGGCCTGGGTGTGGCGTTCCCTCACATAATGAGCTCTGATCTGTTCTTTCATCTTCCTGCTCAGCTCCACATGCCAATAGTCCCCTCTGAAGGGAGGCAGTTTCCATGGCAACCGCATACTATTTCTTACATAACCCCCCCCTCGATCCCCCCACCACTCCCCTGGCCCTTTGAAGATCACTGTAACTCTGGTGCTCTGATTACGTAACACAATATACATATCAGTGGCTTGTACAGCAGAGAGATGAATAGCTCCATCACAGCAAGTGGGCAGCAGCAAGGTGCTCTTCCCTACACAGCATCATGACACCTTTCCACACACACGGCTCTGCAGTGGGATGACTACCACCTGATGAAGAGGAAAGCTGTGTCTCCATTACCGATCCACTGTCTGACAACACCACAGGGCTGGAAAGGTGCCCTGTTTGCACCCTGTTTTGTATAGTTCTGAAGCGTGAACCTAGGGCTAACAAACGTTACAAATCAAAAAGGAACTCCATCCCTCCATTTTCAGAATGCCCTGACATGGGCTATGGCAAGCCAGAGGTATAGCCCAGGACCGAGGACTCACAACAGCGCTCAGCCCGGACACCAGTGCATCACAGAGGGCAACGGAGAAAGATGAGAATTCAGAAGAGCCAATCAGAGAAAAGAGACAATTCAGAACAGCCAATCAGAGAAAGGTAACAATTTAGAACAGCCAATCAGAGAATAGTGACATTTAAAAATAGCCAGTCAACCCTAACCAACATGTTTCTGGGAGATGGAAAGAATCTGGAGCCCCTGCAGAAAACACCACCAAATGTAGGAAGAACATTATAACTATCGGGAATGACAGAGACAGATGCCTAAGGCCAGCATCAAACCCAGTACCCTGGATCTGTAAGAAATACACACTGACCTCCATACCATCATGCCTCCTGGTTTCCTATATTGTTACTATTGATTTATTTAATTTTTCCTCATAGTATTCCAACTATGCCCCTTTGTTAGTTCACTGAGATCAACCAAAATGAAGAAGGCCAGCAACCTAAATAAAAACACATCTCAAGAGGTATTTGAATAAAGTGTAAAAGGCACAAAGCCGTTCTATTGAACAGCAGAAATTAAAAGTATCATTTATTTTGAAAAGTAAGTAGGTGCACAATCATTTGTGCATTTTTCACAGACCTGAAAACACGCAACAGTAAAGTAATTCTCTGATCGGCACAGACGTCTCATGTTACATAAGGGTTCCCTCCAACTGCTTACATAAAGTGTCTTTGATCTATCCACACATGCAACCCTTTTCTCCAAAAATAAAGGCTATGCCTTAAAGTGCAGAATTCTCAATCATGTCCAGTATCAGAGATTGAAATATTCTTAGTTTTCACTATGTATGTGGCTATACAGGACTTGATAGTGGACTGTGGCTATAGAGGACTGGACTGCAAAAATATTGTCTCTAACAGGACTTCTCAGATCCAGACCCCAGTGTCCACAATCCTGCAGGTTTTCTATGTCTCCTCAAGTTATAGACAGTGTTACACCTGGGAGCAAGGTTAAAGCAAACCAATTATGGTTTAACATAATCAATTAATTGGATTCTGGTGCCCCTGGGAACCCCAATCACAACCAGTCGTAAACAAAGTACCCCTGCAGTAAACTAGATTAGCCATGAGAGCATTCAAGAACCCAAGTGTGTCACTCATTAGAGAGGTAAAGTAATGGTATCTGATCCCAGGTTCAAAAACACATCCACACACTCCACTTTATTCACACTGTGGCGATCGAAATTAATAAATTACAATTTAATTAAGAATGCTTTAACTGGTTGTTGCCTGATCATTTTTGCCTAAAAAGAAGGGGAGATAAGTGGATCCCAGGACACCACACAACATTTACAGAAGACTCGAATGATCTACAGTCTCACAAACCTTAGAAACATCTACTGTATACGAGAGCTGCAGGAGTGAGATTTGAGAGGGCACTGTATAATATCATAGAGAACATTTTAAAGATGCTACAGAAAACAAAAAGCAGATTGCATGGAAAAATGCCTTAGAACTGTAAAAAACGGAGCTTAACTACTTGTTAGCAGCTTTTTCAATGATCTGAGAAATGCAAAAGAGAGCACCCCGCTAGAGCATTTAAGTTGTGATTTATCATCCACTTAAGAGAGAATAAGGACGGACTTCCAATTGCTAGGATTTCAGCTGTCTAACAGGAAAGATTGCATAAGTGGTTCAGTGGAGGGAATATTAAAGGAGCAGCATGTTTTATAAATACGGTTCAATACCATGGGAATAGCGGCTATTACTACTGTCAGCTTTATCAAGCTTCGCTGGTGTTTCTGATTCATTAACGCAGTTTATAAAAAAGGGAGGAACTCACATAAAATTCATCTGAATCTGCACTCGTGTTCATGTCGATTTATCGTATACAGTCGGCGTTAAAGATGTTTGTCGAATGACTTGAAGAAAACAATCCAATTGATCTTGAGGTGTGGAGGTAATGGAGATCGATGGCCCAGTTGATCAGCATTAGAGAACAGCAAATGATCACTGTCTTTGATCAGAGCCCTGGCGGTCTGCGGATTTCCTTCCTAATCTCTGCTTTCCGTTTCTAAATTGAACTAACAACCTGATCGACTGCTCACGTTTTGCCAATGTCTTTATCAGTCAAGGAGCTAAGAATAACGGAGACACCCGCGGGATAAGGAAATCTTCAATTTCGAAATTTCCCGGGGATACAGATTTCCAAGGGAGCACTTAGTCATATTAGACTTAATACTGTAATGAATGGTGATATAAAATTCCCTGGCTTTTCTGACCATTAACCAAATAACCAATGCCTTTTCTTTTATTTCTTTTTCACTTTACTTAAAGACGTTCAGTGGCTTAATGGAACAGCCTAACAGTCGACCGTAATTATTGAATGCAATCAACATAATAGTTCATGATCTGAGGTTCTGTGTTCCTCACCTTTTGCCTGATGAAGAAGTAGCATGATCGGCTAGAGATGCCTGACTCCCAGAATCCCTAGCGCGTCGTCCATAGTTGCCAGTCATTCTGCTGGGGACAGGTAATTGTTAGCGAGTACTCCTGCGAAGTAGATAAGAAAATAAAGATAGTTACTGAAATACCTTGACTTTCTTCAGTAACCGTTAGCCTAGCGGTTTGCGTTCGGAAGCAAAGAGGATGAAGGAAACCACGGCGAAGAGGCGGGAGAAACCCCGTGAGTCCAAGCCGGAGAAGCAGCCGGAGTCGGGCCCCGAGTCGCAGGATGTGGAGATGCCGGAGGAAGACGCGGCTGGCTCGGGGAAGCCGCACCGGGAGCTCGACACCCTCACCTTGGAAGGTACTGAAACGGGAGAGGGCAGGACTGCCCCCCCGTGCCTGTCGCGCCGATTGGAGTAAAAATGCTTTTAATGCCCAGTTCATCGGGTCTCGTCCGACAGGCCGTCATTTGTCAACAACAACAGCTGCCATGACTCTCAAAAAAACACAAACAACCGCGTTTCTCCGCGCAAGACCGCACCTTCATATCGTCGTACATATTTTGTTCTTCATAATGATCAGCGTGCGTATGCAGCTCCTTCATTTCCGTGACTATATTGGTGTTTTCGTGGTTGTTTCGATGGTTTATTTTTGTCTTGTACTTAAGATAATGCACCAATACTGCCAAGCGTTTTCTATTTTCTTTGGGACCATCGCTATGTAAGCGAGCTGACGTTTAAACTTGTTTCACAAGCGTATGCTAAAGTAAATAATCGTACAAGTGGCTTTTTAAATTATGCAATAGCTCATAGGTGCAGAAAAGATGGACTCAACGTTCTTCTCTACCACATTCATACAAAGTGGACGTTTTCTAGCTGACGTCGTTAGAAATCAAGAATGAATAGGGAAAGAAATTTCAGATGGGCTGCAATAAAGATAAAACTCCTGAGAGAATCAGGAGGCACACAAATGACAGTTCGGTAATGCTGGTGTTAATTCTTGTCGCTCAGTGGCGCGGAAGGTGCTGCGTCATCACGCTGGGACCGAATAAGTTTCTCCTGGGGGTCTCGCTCCCTTGAGTTTGTAAAAATAATAGGTTCGTGGTGGATGTTTTTAATAATGGCTTATATTTATATGGTGCATTTTTTGACACTCCACTCAAAAAGCTATTTATAGGTAATGGGGATCCCCTCCACCACCACCAGTGTGTATCCCCTACCTGGCTGATGTGACAGCAGCCATAGTGCACCAGTACACACACCAGCTCTCAGTGGGGAGGAGAGCAGAGTGATGAAGGCAGTTCAGAGATGGGGATTATTAGGAGGCCATGATTGGTAAGGACCAATGGGAAATTTGGCCAGGACGCTTGGGTTACATCCCTATACTTTTTGAGAAACGCCCTGCGATATTTAATGACCACAGAGAGTCGGGACCTCGGTTTTACATCTCATCTGAAGGACGGCGCCTTTTTACAGTATTATCTCCCCATCACTATACTGGGGCATTAGGACTCACAGACCGCAGGTTGAGCGCCCCCTGCTGGCCCCACTAACACCTCTTCCAGCAGCAACCTTAGTTTTTTCCCAGGAGGTCTCCCATCCAGGTACTGACCAGACTCAGCTGCTGAGCTCCAGTGGGCTGCCAGTTGTGAGTTGCAGGGTGTTATGGCCGCTGTTTAAACGGATCTTACAGCTGCAAATATGATTTCAGCCATGCGTGGTCGCAGCTTTGGGCCAGTCATGCTAGAGGGGTGGGTGTTGTGCTTGCGCAGGCCCACCCCGATGCCGATTCCCCCACCAGGAGATCTGCTGCGTGACCTTCTGACCCGCCTTGCTTTCTCCTCAGACATCAAGGAGCACGTGAAGCAGATCGAGAAGGCGGTGTCGGGGAAAGAGCCCCGCTTCGTGCTGCGCGCCCTCCGCGCCCTCCCCTCCACCAGCCGCCGGCTCAACCCCAACGTGCTGCACAAAGCCATCTCCGGCTTCTTCACCTCCAACGCCGCCGGCAGGGAGTTCCTGCTCAGCTACCTGGAGGAGGTGAGGACCCCTGCGGCGCTCCTGCCTGCGAGCGCAGTGCACCTGTCTTCCTCCGCCGCCAGCGGCAGCTGGCGCACAGCTGTCTTCACTTTTACAGAGGCTCGGCTCTTTCAGCTCTCGCCGACTGCTGTCCGTCCGACAGGCACACAAGCTTTTCCGTCTCCTCCTGCAGCTTCAGAAAGTTTCAACTGCGAGTGGCTGGAGATGTTGCATTGACATTGGCAGCGCAGTTCCCACCTACACGAAACACACACGGGGGTTTGGAAGCATAGTGATGGAGTCTGCTAGCAGGATCTGTATGTTACTCTGTACCGATATAGTGGTAGGAGCTGTGAACTCCTGCTGAATTCACATGCTACACTCTCACCTTCACGCTTGCTTTAGCACAGATGCTTCTCCCTCCCTGTACTGAACTCCCATCTTCTGTACTAAACTCCCTAATGGGGAATGTTTATACTAAACTCCTGATAAGAAAGGATGTCTTAAGTGCTTTCTGAGTCCTGGAGTTTCTTGAGAAAGCTACCTCAAAGATAGGAGGGGGAGGATATAGAGAAAAGTATATATAAGCTGTGTAGAGCCATATCCCCTTTGAGAAATAAAACAATAAGCCTGAAATGCATCGTTTTTTGTATACATACAGTAAACCTTGGCTTGACGAATGGACACTTCAGGCTCTTGGTTTCTTCAATATTCACTCCAGATTATCCAAAAACATTACAATTGTATCCATACATGAACACATACAAGATTCAAACGAGCCTACCTCCCACGTGGACGTTCTTATGCAAAGGCGTTTAGTTCAGTTGCTGTTATGGCTGTAGCTGGAAAAATGGGCTGATGAAATGTCTGACTCTCCTCAGCCTATGGACACGGAGGGCGATGTCCAGTTTCGACCACGAACAGGTAAGGCAGCTGCCACCCCATTGCTGCCTGAGGTAGAGGCCTACCTACAGCTCCTCCTAGTGGTCTATCTCACAAACAATAAGCGCTACACAGAGGTGAGTTGCAAACAAAACATCGATCTTCTGAATGATTGGGAATACAGATATTAGGTTTTGTTTAATTATGATCATACCATTTTGCTCTCAATCAGGCACTTTAATATGAATATAATTAGTTAAAAGACAAATACATAGTATTGCTCTGTTATTTTTTTAAGTGCTTTGTTAAATGTCCACATAATGAATCGCTAGGATTTGACATCTTACTGCAGTTCATTTTTCTGCCCATGATATGTAATATATAAAATGTGATAAGCTTCTGAATGTCTTTAGAAATAATAATTGTTAGCATACTTTTCAATTGTAACAGTAAAAGAGGTGTATATGGAAACTGGTGTAAACTCCCACAATATCTGTTAGCTACAGGTGCAGACATTGTAAATAAAGCTTCTTATACCTGGTGAATGACACTTGACCTGTGGTTTTGTAGGCTCAGAAAGTGTCCGATCACCTGCTCCAGAAGATCAGTTCTCAGAACCGCCGGGCTCTGGACCTTGTAGCAGCCAAATGTTACTACTACCACTCCCGTGTGTACGAGTTCCTCAACAAGCTGGACGCCGTGCGCAGGTGAGCCCGCTTCCTGTGGAGCGTCCAGCTCTTAAACACCGTATTATAGAGAAAGACAGACATACCAGCACTGCCTGAAGCACAACATGTTACTGCAGTTAACACGCATCACGGCTGTATTTTAAAAAGGTTAGCATTTCAATTAACATGGTCTTTTTCTTGTGTGCCCAATTGTGAGAGATGCATTGCAGTAATTCAGTCTATTTTACAGCAGTAAATCAACTTCCTCATGTTAAATTCTTTTACGACGTACCTTTCATCAGAACATACTTACCTAGATTTAAAAGTACGGCTGTTACTTTGCAGAAAGGCACATTAATTCATTTGAAGCATTGTCAAAGAAACCTGTGCCTGTTAACCCATGTGCTGCGGAACAGACTGACGCCACTAGACACCGGGGCCTTTGAAACGTCTCAAGGCCTCGAGTTCCAATTCAGTTTCTGCGTGCCACATCACGGCGATAAGTTCGCTGAAATTAGACCCAAGTGTTATAAAATCAAAGTCCGAGCAGCTGCACGTATGTCAACTTAAAATCTTCTAGAGAATAAAGCAGCACCAAGAAAGGATGTTTCATTTAACCGCAAATTCCATCCAAGCGGATGCCCCTGTGAAACATGCCCTGCCTAGAGATTAGGTTTGATCACTAGCAGATCTTGACTTCTGATTACACTCTGTTATTCCATGCCTTCTGCTACCCACTTCCCAACACCAATTCCTTTTTTTTTTTCTTCTGACGTTATTTTCTCGTCTTGCCCCCTCGAAGCTTCTTGCACGCTCGTCTCCGGACGGCCACGCTGCGCCACGATGCCGACGGCCAGGCTACCTTGCTAAACCTACTGCTCCGGAACTACCTACAGTACAACCTGTACGACCAGGCAGAGAAGCTGGTGTCCAAGTCCGTCTTCCCAGAGCAGGCCAACAACAACGAGTGGGCGCGCTACCTCTACTACACAGGTCAGAGCTCCTTCCCACTCCTCATCTGACACGGCCAAGCACGGCCAGTGTTTTCGAAAAGATTTTAGTATTGTTCTTGAGAAAAATTTCTCATTCTACAAAATTGATCAATCATTTAATTTAAGCCAGATTGTGGAGAGTCGCAGTCAGCATGGCATCGTTTGGAGAGGTTCTAATCTTCTCACTTGAAATAAGTTTCAAATTTAAAAATGAGAGGAGAGGACTTATTTTTGGATGTATACTTAAAATGCACTGGACTTTAAATGCAGAACAGAGGAAATTTGTGCAAGATATTCAGGAACACTGGAGTCTGACCCTCAATAACAGAGCAAGACAAATATTGGTTTTTAATTTTATTTTTAGCCAGCTGTTTCTTATGCACCTGGTGGTACTAAAGTCCTGAATGTGAATGAATCAAACTCCATTGTAGTAATAAACCTGAAATCGGGGAGGTCAGTAAAACGATTTTTTTACTGTCCATCTATAGAGTACTCATATATAGCACAAGGTGCATTGGCTTGTGCAGAGGACCTTGATCGAGGGTGCCACAGTGGTGCCCCACATGAGATCCAAGCCCACAGCCTCCCATTTGCAAGTCCAGAGCACTAAATACTGTAACATACTGCTGTCCCTGGTGCTTGTCTGCCTGTGGCCAGTAGTGTACAGATGCTCAGTTCAAGTTATCAACTACCCTCTCTTGCCCAGGCCGCATCAAGGCCATCCAGCTGGAGTACTCGGAGGCCAGGAGGACTCTCACCAACGCCCTGAGGAAGGCCCCCCAGCACACTGCCGTGGGCTTCAAACAGACCGTGAGTTTGCAGGCAGCACGCAGAAAAGTCTGGAGTGCCAACGCAGTGTCCGATCTCTGTAGTGTAAAACCTAAGTAGACTTCTTAATTGGCTTGACAAAAAATTGTAGACTGAATAAATCCCAGCATTTACTCCTTTTATCTGGATGTTGGGTGATTAACTTCTGCTTCAGGAAGAAGCTGTGCAGTCTTCAATGATCCTAGTTCTTAGGTTCATTTCATCTTGTGTGCATGGACTGCCAGTAACTTGGGGATGTTTTTTCTTGGTTTGAGCAAAGCATTCCTTAAAAACACTTGGAGGTTTCTTAACGATTGTTTTTAGTTCCTAAAACAAAGTGAGAAAAGGGAAATCGGGTCAATGTGATCCCTCTTCAGGTGCACAAGCTGCTGATCGTGGTGGAGCTGCTGCTGGGAGAGATCCCAGACCGACTGCAGTTCAGGCAGCCCTCTCTCAAGAGATCCCTCATGCCTTACTTCTTACTGACTCAAGGTAAGCAGAAGGCTGGCTTGAGCACTGCTGTGCGCCGTGTAAATCTGAACAGTTACAATCAGGAGGAGCTCATTGGGCCCATCCAGCCTGTTGAGTTACAAGTCACTGATTGATATGAGGATCCCACCCAGCCGTTTCATGAAAGAAGACAGACTTTTCACAACCAATTGGGTAACAACATGAACGACTGTTCTTCGTTTTAAACACTGACTTCAATAATTTTTGGTCCGTCCTGAAGCGTCAAATAATTCCTAACATTTTTGTCGGATACACATAGTATACTTGCTGCCTTTTCCATGTTGCTTTTCGGCCTGTTCTGATTGGTGCAGCCTCTAATATAATTCTTGTTTAAATCATCCCCTCATTTCGACTGCTTTTGACCTGTTCCAATGCCTTTGCTGTTGGTGTAGCTGTGCGAACCGGAAACCTGGCCAAGTTCAACCAGGTTCTGGAGCAGTTTGGGGAGAAATTCCAGGCAGACGGGACTTACACACTGATCATCCGCCTTCGACACAATGTCATCAAGACAGGTGAGCACAGGGGGACTGTACTTTCACACAGGTACCCTAACTAGGTGCCCCGCTTTGATAAGTGTTCATCACAATAGCGATTCATCAACCCGCTGTTTTGTTAAAGAGCTCAATACACAACTGTCTGTCCACACCAAGACAATTTCTAGTTGTGACCCTCTTTATGGATACACTTGCTTAGCCTGACAGGAATTTGTCCATAAGTATTTGAAAATCTTGAAATATTCAGTCATTCTGAAGGAAACAAGTTCCTGTGTGCCTTTTTGTTTTCCAGACAAAAGAATGGAATGAATCAAACTAAAACACGTTTTGTACTGAATACATGGATATTTTAAATTTAGGGTTAAGTCACTGTTGACTGGTATTCTATTTCTAATTTTAGACTGAACTTTTTCATATTGTTTTATCGTGCGGCAGTGATCTGCCCATGAGGGCAGATCGTCATCGGAAATTAGGATTTTTATCAGAGCTGATTCATGCAGATAAATGAATCTTCTGCGAGTTTTTTTTTTTTTTTTTAGATTTAAAGGCCATCATTATCTTCTGCACTGTAATGTCTTCACTAGAAGAAGCAGCAGTGTGTGGGTACGCACAGTCAGGGCTGCGTGTGTTGTCTCTTGAGGGTCGTTCAACCCAACCCCTCTCCCTGCTCTGTCTTCTGCCCAGGAGTCCGGATGATCAGCCTGTCGTACTCGCGGATCTCGCTGTCTGACATTGCTCAGAAGCTGCAGCTGGACAGTCCTGAAGACGCTGAATTCATTGTGGCAAAGGTACGAGACCGTGTGAGGCTGCAGTTCGGTTACTGGTAGCAGGCATGAGTAGTACCGATCACTGCTGTATGTCAATTTAAAGTTTTACGCCACTTTATTCTCCAACGCTAGGGTTTGCACAGAGTTTTTGGGATGATGTATATTCTTTGATTTTAATATTTAAATATAGGACATGTGCTTCAGTGTAATCTCCTAAGGTCTAAGGCCCCCCTAACCATGACGCCTTGATTTGGCCGATGCAGAGATAACTTAAACCACTTGTAGTACATTTTATCACTCAAGATACAAGTTGATATGCATGTTACATCTGCAGTGGGTTAAATCTATTTTTGACTTGTAATTAGTTGAATTAATGAAGGATTGAGAGTTTATGGTGAATGAGAAGCAGTGTGGATTGACTATAGCCTATCCCTGGATTGAACTCGGTTATCTTCCAAAGCTTCGGGCGACTTGAACCAATTTATAATCCGGAGAGCAGTTTATTTCCGGAATGCCGAGAACGGAAATATAAGCAGGTGACTGACCTTGTGTTTTCATTATCCCAATGTGGCTCCCAGGCCATCCGAGACGGGGTGATCGAGGCCAGTATTAATCACGACAAGGGGTACGTCCAGTCCAAGGAGACCATTGACATCTACGGCACCAGGGAACCCCAGCTAGCCTTCCATCAGAGAATCTCCTTTTGTCTGGATATCCACAACATGTCCGTCAAGGTAGATAACCTGCTGTCTCGCGTGTACCATTCATTACAGCAGTACAAAACAATAGAGGGTCACTTTGCCACCCCCACAACAGCCTCTAAGACCTCTGCCAGTGAACAACAAAAACCCTCACCATTTTAAACCTCCATCCATTTTCTAACTGGTCCATCCAATTTAGGGTTATGGGAGAGCAGGAACCCATCCCAGTGCAAGGCCTTGGGACAGGACGCCAGTCCATTACAGGACAACACACATGCAGATATGCATGCCAGGGCCAGGTTTCTCAAAAAACAGTTAACGGTACCAGTCTGTCTTTGGACTGGGGGAGGAGACAGATGCGATCATGGGGAGAACATAAAAAAAGTCCACCCAGCACCCCAAATCTGGAGTTGAACCCAGGGCTCAGTGCTGCAAGGCTGCTAAGCACTGTCTCACTGTGCTGCTTCACACATTCAGCAAATCACAGGGCTTTTCAGCCATCACTGATATTGGTATGCATCTTAGGCCATGTATGGTGGTAATATGAGGTGGAGTCTGAAGAAGGTCAAAGTGCCTTGCCACATGGTTGAACTTAATATGGTGCAACAGTACAAAGATCAGAATGTTCTGTGTATTTGTTTTCACTGTCATGCAATACCAGGTCTAGCCAGCAGATGGCGTTGCTTGACCGCATTCAAACTTGGTCCTTTTTTTGTCTTGCAGGCAATGAGGTTTCCACCCAAATCATACAACAAAGATTTAGAATCTGCAGAGGTGATGTCAGATTTTACTGTGATTTAATGCTATCCTTTGAAAGGCAGCAAATGTAATGGCTTAATTAAATATTTTAACAGTATTGTATGGGATATATGTGCTAAAAATGCCTGAACAATATTTGGTTAGTACATATGCATTGAACAGCTATATCTCAGTGACTTTAAGGAACCAACTTACAACTACATCAGGTGTTGTTTCTTTGAAGAGACCTAGAAAACCTTCTAGCAGCAGGCGTCTTCGTCTCTGAAATAGGGAGAAGTTATGCGACTCATGTTCCTTACACAGTTGCCAGAACCTCTTTGAGAACGAAGTGTCACTGAAGGATGAGAGATCGCTGTTGTCCAGCCTCAGCTGCTTGCATAACAAGCTGTACCTTGAAATTGCTTCCCACGGGGGAGTGATCCACTGCAGGTCCCCACAAGAGGGCAGCAGTGTCTAAAACAGCAATGTTTGTGCAATGTCACTTTTCTGGCCTTAAGGATCTGCAATTAAAATAAAAGGTTTAATTTCAGACAGTTCCTGATCCATCTGTTAAGGGTTGCCTTTCCAGGATCATTAAATTATTGGATTTTCATTTGTTGTTTTTAACCGTTATACAGTACTATTGTTTTTTTTGTCACACGAAGGAACAGATTTCTCATGGGGGAATTGTTTTTTGCAGGAGCGTCGCGAAAGGGAGCAGCAGGATCTGGAATTTGCCAAGGAGATGGCTGAAGATGATGACGATAGCTTCCCCTAGATGTCTTTTTTGTTTGTTGTTTTTATCTCATACCTGGTTGTCTTTCTGGTCACATCTTCTTGGCGTCTGCTAATACAGTTCAATTATCCTATTACACCCTAGAATGGCTGTCTCTCTTTTTTTTTTTAAGACTTCTGAAAAGGCTGTGGGCTATATTATTGTTTGGTATAAATGAAATATCAAATGGAAAAGTAAACAAACCCTACATTGTTTTAAAAGTGAGAAACAGAAATTGTCAGGCTTTTGATTGATACGAAAAGTGAGATATTCTAAGATCCTGAAGGTACAGTTATTACTTCAGCTTATTTACAACCTTATCTGACAACCATCAAAAGACATTAATAATGCAGTGTTTAGAAAGAGGAAGAGCATCATCAATATAACCACAGTGTATTTGGCAAAAATCAAATCCTAGTGCCCAGGGTGATACTAGAGAAAGTAGACTTCTCCTTGCAGTCCATGACAGACTGGGAAACCTACCAGTCCCTGGGTTCTTTCTTTCAGAATTGGTTTCTGCTTTTCTTTTAGTCACAAGAGTATGACCTCTCCCCAGACAAACCACAAAAGAATTTTGTTTGGTTTTGTTCCGTCTTTCCCCAGCCCCCTGTCTGCCCCTTGCTACAGTTTTAAACTCTAGCTTCCCCAGAAGCACCTTGTGCCATCTGACTCGCGGCAGGCAAGTGGGCTCGTCTTGTGAGATCTGAAGGACGAAGAAGTGTCTTTATTTCACTATCATCACCGCTGTGCAATCGTGCCCATGGGTCTAACCATCTAGCCAGCCTCAATCAGAGGAATGGGCATTTGTGTAACAGAAGCAATTAAAAACCTTTTTTATATATACACTACACACAGTGTTTGTTTTATTTACAGTATACCAGGGTGGAGTTTTATTATTTTTGGTGTGCTTGTTTGATATTTGCTCTGATATAGGAATAAAAAGATGGCTAACTGCCTAGTTATAATTTTAGTGTTCATGTCATGGGGGAACACTTAATTTGTTTTTCTCATATGCAGAACAGGACTGTAAGCCTTTAGGGCCTTTACAAATATCCACTGAATATAAGGTTGACGTTAGAAATATTTATTGCAAGTCAAAATGTATAAAAGGAAAGAGCAATATTACTCAACTGTTTGCAGTTTACTGTTCTCATATCTAGAACAAGACTAAACCTCATGGCCTTTGTATACAGTAGAGGTAAGATTGACGTCAGAAATGTATTCCAATTCTGAATGGAAATAGTATGTAATATTACTCACAGCTGTTGGCATTGTCCCTGTATACCATCCTGCAAAAGTAATCTTTGTTTTCCCTAGGTAGAAACACACAGTCCTTTTGTGATCTACTGGTGTTTTAGCAATTATTCCTTTGTAATAACCGCTAATCCTGATGAGTATCACACTGTAGAAGAAGTACCCTTTTAAGTTTTGTGAATATGTAGGAAGGACCGTGTGCCAGTAAGTCAGATTTCACTGTTAAATGTGATGATTCTCCCAACACAGAAACGGCTCACATGCATCATTACTTGGGAAATATTGCAAGTAAAACTTCCCAAAAGCCATTGTAGCGGCGTTTTATCAGGTTCTCAATGTGGCTGTGGTACTTTTGACACACGATAGCATTGAAGATTACATAACAGCCAAGGTGCTGAGTCTTTCCTGGCTTCCTGTAGATCAAGAAAGAGAAAACTACCTTGCTCTTCCTTGGGGCTCTGCAGGCGCTGGCTACAGGCAGCTTTGTCAGTTGTATGGATTCCACTGGCTGCAGCATTTCCTCCTCGTTGTGAAGAAATGGGAGTGCCCCCCTAGCGTCACCTGCTTGAAAAACACAATAGACGTTTTGTCAGACAAAGTTGAAAAGCAGTTTTGAAATTGTTTGCTTAGGATGCACAAAAGAACTTCTTAAGCAGAGGTTTCTTTTTCAGCTAGAACGCACTGAAAATGGACTTCATGAATCTTTAAATGTTCACCTAATATAATTACACCTGGCAATTGCTTTTACAGTATTTTCGTCTAGCTGTGTCAAAGTGGCTGGCAAAACATGCTTGTTTTGTATTTAAAGGGTCGAATAACATTGGTTTACTTCTTTCTCAATAATGAGCTAACTGGAACATGCCCCCAGTAAGAGTATGCTTCCCCCAACTCAACATGGATTTGAAGGTTAAAACAAGGGACATAATTCTAATTCATTCACACAAATGGAACCTTAAAACACATACAGATTTGTAAATACAGCTTGTAGTTCATCATTTTTTAAAAGCAAAACAAAAGATTCATTTTCTATCATTGCTAAATCATTTGCCTACTAGTTTTTGTATGGGTTTGTGCTTGATAAATAAAAGCTGATGCTATTTGTGATTTGTTTTCTCATTTTAATGATTGTCTAGTGAGAATGTTACAGCATTTTATTTTATTCACACATTGCCTTTTGGATTATTGCTGTTATATTATCTCAGATTCCCTTGGTTTTAAAGGGAGCCAAGATTGCAGTATGCTAAGGAGATCTCAAGTGTCTCCGATTATGTGAACCTGGAATCTATGCTATTGGCAAACACAGAGAAATGATGTCATGAGCTTTGAGGATTTGCCTAACTGCAGGTAATGAATTGGCCCGCCTCATGCGGAAAGATGGGAAAACCTGAAGCAGTTATGGTGTGGCAATGTAAATTAGGAACAGCTTAGATGGACACAAACTGAAAGCAGAAGGGACAAAGGTTGAAAGATCTCAGGGGACCAGCCTCTGTCTTCCCCTGTCTGTGCAATGCAGTGAGAAACCTAACCAGGACCTAGATTGCAGAAACTGGTGGAAATTTTACCACACTGGAAACCGTTAATTACAGCACTCTTCAAGTCCAGAATAGAGAGACCTCAAACTGCACTCAAATCAAAAGGTTTTCATTAAATCTCTTAACTTGCTCAATTGATCATCAATTTAATACTCAGAAACCTTGTTTTCAACACTCTTAATCTAGAAGTAATTATAAAACCATAAAAATGACAAAAACCTTAGAGATAATATCATATCATGTTCCGTCATGATCATGGTAACACCAATTTAATATTCTTAACATTGTAAAAACACATGATTTTGGGTTCTATTTTTCTTGAAGAACAATAGGAGCAAATATTACTAACGGACCCAAATGTGTATTTCAAAACCATCTGAAACGATCTGTAACACGTTTCCCTGTAGAATATAGTTTATTCTTCTTATTTTTTAGATTGGTTGACACCCTCTTACCCAGTAGACTTCCAAGAGACACGATAAGAAAGTATAATGCATCTCTCACACACACAGAAAGTAAATATTTTGCGGTGTTAGAAAGGTACAGTGGCTTACGGTCCGTAGAACAGAGAAGATAGAAATACTATGCTGTATGTCATCTGTACACCTCCCTGCGGTACACAAGGCAAACCAGTGTGAGAGGTGACCGTAGAAGCAAGGGAGAGGAACTGAGATGGGACTGAGCGCATGAGCTGTTGGGGGGGAAGGACAGCAATTCAATGTACCCGTCTGCACACGCAGGGCAACACCTGACAACAGCTGTCCAGGTACAACGCAAACGCCAGTGCAAGATGAATGGTTGTGTCCAGAAAATAGTCACATATGCTTAATTCTCAATATTCAACCATTTTTGAGTTGACAAACTACCGTTTATAGATATGCTGTATGAGCACATATATGCTGAGTATTACACAGTGCGTAACAATGATCGATTTCAACGTTATATGACTTCATTCGCATTTGAAAAGATTGGCGGTTAAGTACTACAGTTTACAATGATACTATGTTTCCTACAGTATGTCAGAGTCTTGTGAAATTTGGGGATTTCAACATTCCATCATTGATTGTATTTATATTCCAGGGTCTCCTACTGTATTTTCAGTTCTCAGTTAGTGCTCTGACTAACCTGTTCAGTGGATCTAAAAATCTGACACTACAAACCCACATAGAATGAATTCTTTATACAGTAAGTAAGCTTATGTGTTTTCCTAAATTCTTACTTAATTCAAAGCTAAATTATTCGCTTTTCATTCAAAGTTAAATTACTCTTAGCAATTTGCACTGGGATACTGTTTCTTATGGCAATGAAATAATTGCAAATTAACTTTTTTTAGGACTGAAATGTTAAGCTAAAAGAACAACTCTCTTTGAAACAACATTTAAGCAAAGCAAAAGAAACAAAGCTACTCTGTGGATTCAGCAAAAGCCACCACAATCGAAAGAGAAATTCGGCACAGTAACAGTCTCCTCTCCGAGGCACTGCTAAGGAGTGATTCTGAAGAGCCAGCGGCCTCTTGGATATTCTGTTTTCTGTTTGTCGCTCTGCATGATGTAACAGTTCTATCACTGATTAGGTCTGTAGGAGGCACTGTTCATCAGCTTTGCTTTTGTTTGTGTTGTACAAGTACAACAGCGCTCTAGGAGTGAGCAATGAAAGCTGAGAGCTAAAGATCATTTATGCTCCTCTCTGCAACTCACCCAGAGCTCTGCAGAGCTGCCTTTCTCTCCTGCGTGCAAGGACTATAACAAGTGTGTTTCCTCTAACAGCCCTGTCTATGCACTTCTGCCTGGCTCTGCTGGCCTGTGCCCACCCCCTGCCAGAGTATTCTGGAGAAATCGGACTTGTCATGGAAGATCCAGAATTCCAGAAAGTAGTCAGCCAGAGCTGGAGCTTGGTGAAGAAGATCCAGGATGACATTCCAGAGGTGACCAAGGCTCTGGTGAGTACTGTGGGACAAACCCCGATTTAAAAACAAATACATTCCATTCTTGGAGAAGTGCAATTTGGCTTTGCTGGATTTGAGATACATTCCTGACTCGGGGAAAGTGACGGATCTGGGTGTGTTAAACAGACTGAGCAATTAAAAATTTCACAGCTCGAAGACCAATTTTTCTGACTAGCTACACAACTTAAAAAGGGCAGGAATTTGGAAATTTAGTAAACGTCTTCTTCAAGTGAACTCTCCAGCAGTTTAACATGCTCTCTCAGATAAAAGTCTTTGTAGACAGTCTTCTTTAATCCTTCCAAAGGTTTCAACACAGAGGCTGTACCAGCTCTGTTGTCACTTCACGTTCTGTAGAATTACAGAGTATACTGCACATATGACTAAAAGAGTTTCGTAAAAGTTTCCTGCGTTATGCAACAAGATATTAGCTTGAAAGCTTCCTCAGCCAAGCTTAGTAATGACTCAGCACTCCAGGAAACCAGAGGAAATGTAGTTGTCATAAATAGAAATATAAGTATTTTTTAAATAGCAGAGCCAAAACTGAATGTGGGATTCTCACAAAGCACAGGACAGCAGGCTGCTACGGCAGCAAGCCATAGGATAGCATTCCCAAACACTCCTATCCTGCAACATTGCTTTGCTTTTGCTCCGATAGCAAGGGCTGTAGGTCAGTGTGATAAGCATGCTTGTTTTCAGCCAGTCGATTTCGCATTTGGGCTTTTGCAGAACTAGCGTTTGAGGTTTTGGCAAAAGTTGGGAGTTGTGGTACTTGCAAAGTACATGTGGCATGTATGCTTATGCAAATTTGGAATGAAACCAGGTACCCAGTAGTGCTGTGCACCTCCCCACTCTGAGACACCAACAAAACATTAAAAACCAAAGTGCTTTTGAAATCTGTTCAGCTTGTGGATTACATATTGCGTGGGTACTTCATTCTGGAATGCTAGCAAACAAGAAACGAATGCACGAGAAGATAGAGACAGCACATGGACTGCAACTGTGTCAACATTTCTTTGCAATGGGCAGTCCAGCAATTCTTTGAACAATTCTGGAATAATGTTATCTACCTCCTGTTATACCACACAAGGTCCTACAAATGCTTATTGTTGGCCTTAAAGGAGCAAGTACTGAAAATACTACAGAGTTCTGGTTTTGACTCCAGCCATCTGCACCTGTCTGTGTGGAGTTTGCTTCAATTTCCCCCTTTCCTCCCGAAGACGTGCTGTCCACATACAGTATGATCGCCAAGCTGTCCAAGAGGAAAGAAGCCATGTGATCTCTTCCCCACCTTGCGCCCTGTGCCTCTGGCTTGTCAGACCCTCACAGGACAAGCAGCCTTCTGATAATAGTTTGAATTGCCGAGTCAACCGGATAGACTACAACGTCCATTTAAGACTGAGAGAAAGAGGTGTGTCTTTACACAAAGAGTTGGACCCAGCTGCTTCATGAAAGAAACAGACCTTGAGATCAGACACTTAACGGCAAACAAATACGCTGCAGAGTAGAGTATCAAGACCACTGTAATCCTTGCAAAGCATGGCCGACTCCAGAGAGAAAGCAAGATTGTTTTCATGATGCCAGGCCAAGCAAGATAAAAGCACGGAATAACGCCTGATGATGCTGTGCGGAACGAGTGAAAACGGAGCAAATCTGATGTTAGTTTTTCCAGAGTTGGCTGCAGCACCCCTTCTTCTTAATCCCTCCCTGGCAAGCCATGCTGCAGCACTGATGGAGTTTAAAGGGGTACAGGGGGAGTGCGTCCCCACCCTTTATCAGTGCCATAACAAATGAATAAATACAATTCCGTCTCCTGCTACAGACAACCCGATAATTACAGGCTGAAAAGCTGAACAGTCAGGCTGGTGTGTGCAGATTTGCAGGGCTCTCTGCAGATAAACATTCACTGCCTGCAGCCAAACAGAGGGAGCAGCCAGAGCATGTCACTCACCACCCCAGAGGGCTTCTAGAACCAGGACGGCCCTCTGTGAAGCAGGCTCCAATTTCAGACTCCAGCCTGTCTGCTTTGTCCCTAATAAACCTTGTCCATGCCTGGCTCACAGCAAAGAGGGTTAAAGTGCAATAAGCAGAGTGCAGGCACTATGAAAGCATGCTCAAGGACAGAAGCCCGAAGCAACACTTTTTCCTACAGGATGAACGTTTTACTAATGCTTTTCTTTTTAAGCATAAAGAAACAAGATACAAACAATGACTTATGCCATGTGAGCATTTTCCCAATATTCAAGAAATGTCTGAACGCCAATCGATTCGTTACTAACCACCAAACGGCCGCATGGCCTCCTGGTGTTTGCAATCATTCTTATGCTCTGAGACACTGCAGTGTCTAAGTGAAACCCACTGGAAATCGACGCAAGAACGAGACTTTCCTCTCTCTGTTTGGAAATGTGAGCCTGATGGCATCTCTCTCTCTCTCGCACAGGCCCTGCCAGACTATAAGGACATAGACCTCCAGATGATGGCCGCCCAGCTGGGAATCCCCTCTGCCCCTGTCCTCAAGGCCCTGACTACAGAATTCACCCTGGTGAGTAGAGCACACCTGGCTCTCTCCCTGTACTGTAATGCAGGGGAGAGTGTGCGCAAGAGCTTCTTTTGCACTGGTCCAGGAGTGGATTGTTTAAGACAGGAAGGGGCAACTCCAGGATCAAAAAAGTGGCTGGGCTTTCCTGCCCCATACTTTACAAAAAAGCCACAGGTGTCCCAGAACACTCCTGCAGCAAGCTTAGTAGGCTGGTGATTTTTTGTCACGAGCCAAAGGCAGGTGTACCTTTAATTTCTGAGTCTGAACCTAAACTATCAAGATGCATTTAAATCTGCCCGTATGGTTGATGCTGTGGCAATAAGAGTTCTGCTAAATTGTGATAAAACAGTGACATTGCACAGAGCAGCACATTAAAGGCTGGCAAACACCACAAGCAAAACCTTGCAAAAGAAAAGGCATGAGCACGGCATTAGGCTGGCAGAACCGAGGAGAAACAGATTTGTTCCTTACCTTCTGAGCTCGTGCCTGCCCTCCTTGAAATCCGACTCCGGCTGCAATTTCCCCAAGTCCTTAGAGCTGTGACTGTTCCCCTGGCAGGAGACATCTCTCACCAGAATGACAGAGGGGCTCCAGATGTTCCAGCACCTCCTAACCATAGTCCGTGATCATTCGGTGGCTCCTGAGAAGCTGGACATCCTCCTGGCTGACATCAGGGACCTGATGACCCAGAATTACAAGGTGGGAGCTTTTCCGATGCACATGGTTAAGAACCTATAGAGGCCAGCAGGAATAAAACAGTCACCTCTGCTCCTGGGGGGCCACTTAGACATTGGAAAACGTAGACTTCATTCATTGAGTAACTGATTGCATTAGATATTAAATGTTGAGGTGTAAAATATGCCTGAAGGTGATGACCCTAGATCTGGAGGATGAGTGACATCTGAATCAATTATGAAAGGCTGAAGGTTTCATTGTGATTTTCTGGGGGGCTCCTGCAGGTGTCCCAGTTGGCCCAGCTGGAGATCAATGTGGTGCAGTACGTCGACTCGGGGCTGGCGGCCCGGCTGGCCGGGGAGTTCGAGAAGCGCGTGGCGGCGCACATCGTCCTGGCCAACCTGCGGGCCTTCGCCCAGGACGTGCACCGCAGCCTGCGGCACATGAGCGCCAAGAGCCAGCGGGCGGCGAGGACGTGAGCCAGAGATGGTAATCCTACACTGGACAAAAGAAAACCCAGCCTCTCTTAGCAAAAAAACATACTTTCTTGTCTCAAAACAGCCTAGAAAATATGTTTTACAGCACCTCTTTGTTGGGAAAAAAACCTCTGATGGTTTAAAAGCCAAATAGGATTCATTTAGTAATGCTAGATTGTGATCCATGTCACTGTTTCTCGGCCACAGACAGAAGAATAAGCCTGTAAGTCTCAAGAAGCACCTTTGTATTTTAGGAAGCATGAGATTTAGCTGTGTTTTTTCTACAAAAAAACAACATATACATTGATCAAAACAGGATTTTGTCTATTTACATTCTTCGGGCACATAATTCAAGCAATGCCAAAATAGCAATTTGAGCTGTGAGATACTTTTGGTCTCCTTGCTTTTAAAGAGATCACTGCAGGATCCAGGGTGCCTTGTTATCACAGCTCTTCTGTTCTGGTCAGGTGTGGAGACAGTGACATGGCAGGTACTGAATCTTTCCTATCGCTAGGCTGGTGTGCACCCAATTGCACCCCATGCAATCGGATTTGTAGGGATCTCCTCCTTTGTAGGCTTAGGGAAATAATTTCTCAGGAGATATCAAAGGTTAATACCTTATTCTTTAAATAAATTCTGAAATTCTTATTTATTAAGGGGGAAAGGGGCTAGAAGGGCTAAAAGCAAAATGGTTTTGTTCTATTTGATAAATATTTGTATTCTGCAAAAGGTTGCCAAGGTTGACGGGGTTACTTTTCAAAAACATGGGGAATTGAAGAAAAAAACCATACTGGCCCCATGCGTAGTCAGGCCCTGACTCACCAACGTTGCGTGTCATGACCATGACTCGGCAGATCCTCCCTGATGCTCCGGGGTGAATCCTGGCACACTGCTGACCATGACTCAGCGCTCCGGTGATGCCACAGGGAGGCAAGACTCCGGGCTTATTTTCTAATTAATTTATTTGACTTATTTACCTATTTATTTGATTATTTATTCACACAAGCAAAGATGATATTATTGTTTTTCTTCTATAAGCTAGATCATTCCCCCTCCTTCATACTCTTTGTATTTTGATGACATACTGTACATATTGACAAATAAAACATTTTTTAAAACACACACACACAGACATATATATATATACTTGCACTGATTTAAAAATACTGTACATATCTCTACAGGAATGATAAAAACTACTTGCAACACCAGCGAGTTGTACATTGGTTACAGTGCTGGGCACTGTGTACCAGTAACAGGCTGTGGAGAACGGACATGGCCCTGTGCTCCCAGCATGTCTGCGTTTCTTTACCTTGGCTGTTCTTAACGCTCTCCTGGAATTGCCAGCAGAGTGTAGGAGTCTCCAGCGCTGCCTGGATGGAGAGAGCATCTACTGGGCAGTGCCGGAGTTGATTAAGAGAACAGGCAAGGAGTGACTGCGGTAGCAAGCAATATCTCTGCATTCAGAGAGCAGAGAGGACAGAATCTGTCATGTTGTACATGATGATGTTCTAAAGAGTTCTGACAGACCCCAGCTGTCGCTCTGAGCTTGTGGTCTTTTTCGCCAGGAGGTGACATGCCATGAGCATTACGGATTGTAACTGTTGTTAAAAACAGAAGAAATTTGTGAAAGAAATGAACAACAGGATTCTGAAAATTAGCCGAACTGTTTGTTTTCAGTCACTGAGATGCTGATGAGGGTCCACTCTTTGTCATAAACAGAATCCTTCATGAGTTTGCTGGATTAGACTCTGCAATTTTGATATATTTATGGCTTTTATATATTTATTAATAACATCAGTTATAGCTCCAACGATGTGGCGAAGTTATTCTGAAGTGTCAGAATAACCAGTTGTGATCATGGCAGTATACTCTGTGACACTTCTAATGTCCTTAGAAAAGGACACAAGAGACACTACCATTGATATCTCATTCTCACAATTTTTATATATAAAAATAATCTTGATACGTTATACAAAAATGGGAAAATGTTTGATACTGAAATATGCAGCTTTTTATATTGTGTAATGCAGGGTTGTTCGTTGAGAATGTTGAAATGTTAAGTATTATTTATATTATTATTTAGTTGTTAAGTAAATGTGTTTATTCTTGGCAAATTACAGACAGAACAGAAAAGTGCAATGATATTGCAATGGTACAATTTAAATACAACAAGTGCAAAGGTTAGTACAAACCCAACACCACACAACTAGAATACACATCAATCGCAGTCCAGACAAAAAGCAGTTGCCAGTACATTGTCATTCTTTGTGTTTTTTACACCTGGAAAGGAAAGTGCTTTCTTTTCGGGACAATATGGAACAGAGGAATTGTTTTCCAAGAGTCAAATATCCTTTTTTTTAAATGTATTTTTACTTGTGGTATTTTTAGTGCTTATTTATTTCTGATATTTATTCCTACCGGCAAAACACGCTATTTTGTATTTATTGTATTGTACAACCCTGTTTATTACTTGAAACTTTTCATTTTCTTGATTTATAGGGTGCTCAATAAATCTATTTAAAAAAAATACAAGTGTGATGTTGTCATTACTGGACCTGTGTTTCTGAAAATGGAGCCACCAGGTTCCTCCTCCTGGATGGTGGGAAGACCTGGACCTGTCTGGGGTCTGCTCCAAACACCCAAGAAGGGACCACTGGAAAGAAAAAAAAAACATGATTCTGTTAAAAATGCGTCGTTGTTCTATACACAATCATCAGAGCTTGCCGTTTGTAAAACTGCGCTCAAAATAGGCACAGAAATATACATTAGCTCACAAAAAGGCCTCAGAACAGAAGAGACCATTCAAACAATCTAACCCTCCCGGTTTACTAGCAGCTAGCTGATCCAAGGATCTAATCCTGGTATCCTGGAATTCGAAATTTCATCTAATTTCTTAAAGGATGCTAGGGTCTCAGCTTCAATAACATGCTTAGGTTCCTTGTTCCAGACACCCACAACCCTTTGTGTAAGGAAGTGCCTCTTGTCCTAAATTGTAAATGTACGGATACAGTAGGTCCATTCCAGAGCTGAAGTGACTGATCAGGCTAGAGTCCACTCTTGAACCTCTAAAGGTTTGGTCTTAACTCCTACCGATGTCTCCTGGTCTGCGTTTCACGGGTGTTCCTACAGACATACAGTGGCTGGACTTGGACAGTGCCTTTCTGGGCTTCAAACATTTTTGCTTCACAAGCATCCTTTCTACCACATTGACAGAAATAAGACATTTTCACTGGGTTAAACTGCAGGGCAGGGACAAACTAAGACACAGTACTGAAATAACAAAAATGGCAAAGGATCGACGATCACCCCCACTGTGGAAATGATTAAAAACCATTGCTTTCTGCGAGTGTCAGTACAGGACCTTCTGTTCTCGGTCTTGTCTCTCCCCCATTGAGGGACTCTCCCCGGAAGCTGTGTACCCGGTGATCACTGAGCCCCTCAGACCAGCCACAGGTCCACTGGATGACAGATGAGTCCCTCCAGCCCCCTACTCCTGCCCCTTCAGTGTGGCCAGACCGGAGGAACCCCGGTTCGTCAGCGTGACGCATCGCACGGCCGTGAACAATAAATAATGAATAACAACGAAGTGAAAAATGACGCGCTTGTCCCAGGTGGGCGTGAATCATGTGCCGAGCCTGTGATGCCAGGGCAGGGGGCCGTTCTGGGAAACGCTTTCAGGATGAACGCATGGTGATGCTGCCCTTGCCTTTCTTCGAAAAAGGAAGCAAGGACTGGCGGCGCGGGCTGGCGAAACAAAGTGACTGATGCGCCAGGGAAGATGGTCGGTCTATTGTTAGCTCTGGGCTTAATTGTGCAATAGCCCTGGACTTGGGCCACGAGAGGCCCCCGGCCTCACGGCTGGGGGGGGCAAGGGCAACACGGCGGAGCAGATGACTCCGGAATGACATCATCATCATCGGAATGGCATGCCGAGGGAAATACTGAGAAGCAAAAGAAAAAGGAACCGGACAACTGAGGTGAATTCCCCCTGCTTTCGAGGAAGACGCAGTGATTTGCCCGTTCCTCCTAAGTGATGCGCGATGATGTGCTACCAGGGGTGTCTATAAGCAATCAGGACGGGCTGCCGTGGGTCAATGGGTTTTATTGTTTCAAAGCGGACCATGAAATCTTATAATCCGGGGGGATAACATGCAGACTCCACACAGAAGGAGCCCCAGTTCAGGAATCGGAGCCAGGCCCCACAGACTGACATCACAGCGCCAACCCCCCCAAGCTAACCTGCAGGTCCAAACGTTCATCATTGTTTGGAATAACAAACACAGAAATAAATAAGCAGACAAAGGGGTAAATAACAATATACAAAACTGTATGAACAACCATTTAATATTAATGTTTCCAATTTTCTAACAGGGCAGCTGTCATGCTAATGCTCTTGCTAATCTTTTAATATTAACAACATCACATATTTTGTGACACCTTTCTCTGCAAGTAGATGAGGAAGAGTCTATTCTGTCTCTATGAATGCTCAACAATCATAAAAGGCACTGAGAAACCTTTTTCTTCTCGACATTTCTATTTGTTTTTGAATCCATATTTTGCCAGATACATGTAATTCAACTGAGAACAATTCCTTGTTTATAAGGATGATTAAGACACATCAGGGTACTATCTGCTGGGGCAGTGAGATACCTTTGTTCAAGGGTGCAACAGCACAGACCATACCACTCAACTGTTGCTTCCTTTCATTTGGCAGAAGACCAATAAGAAATAAAAGATCTGACTCAGCATGCCTATCTGTGATGCAGCACAGGCCGCTGTGTTAATTGTAATCTGTAATCTCTCCATGAATGATGCTGGTGTTGAGCTGGCTGCCGAGATGTCTCCAAGCTCTTGGGCTTGAGGCCAGGGAACTGACCAGTCCCTGAACAGAACTGTATGCTGTTAGCCAAATAAATGTTGCACTCCCTATTGTGTTGTTAACTTCCTGCATTAGTAACAAAATATATCATTTCATGTTAAAGAAACACGCACTGGGACAACCGGCTGTACACTCTATGCCATTTCTGTTTCAAAGGCTTGAAAACAAATCGAATGATTCAAATGGCCTCTCCATCCCCTGTTAATCGAGAGATGTGGAAGCTAGTGAATCAAAAGTCTTGAGCCAGCAAAACATATCAAATTTCATCCCATATAAACGTTAGAAAGGTTACAGATGAGAGTGGGTTTTACAAACCTTAATTGCAACCATGAAACTGACAGGTTTGAAGACTTACTTGCATGTGTGGGACCTCCAGGGCACTTATCAGCTGTAACAGAAAACAGGCCGGAGCTGCTCACGGAGAGCGGGCAGAGCAGGGGTCACATCAGGGCACTTCAGCAGGAAATGCATCCTGAGCAGGCCTTCATGCCAACCACGTGACTCACTGTGATGTCATCATGCCCCGTTTGGCGTCACAGCTCCCTCTCTCCCTACCTTGGGCAACGTCAAGCAAAAAGCCCAGGATTCCAAAATCTGCAACAGCTGTTTGTAAATGGTTAGATGGAGGAGGGTGGGAAAGTGCCCTTTCTTGTGCAGTAATATTGACGGAGAGCTCCGGGCTGATGGACTTGTCCTTGCATGTCTCGAGCACTGGCTCTGAGATCTGTGCTTCAGACACTCTGCGCTTCTCAAAATAACTTTGTGCAGATTCCAGAATTGACATGGCTTACTCACAATAAATCCTAAACCCTCCAAAAACCACAATAGATAAAACTGCATTAAAACCCAAGAAGATTTTTAGATGTCATGCAATTGTTACCAGGCTTAAATTTCCTAAATCTGGGCCTTGCAGGCCACATAGTTTTCATTACAGCTCAGCCTTTTCGTTATCCAGTTTTTATTCTCAACATTTCCCACAAAGAGCAAATCCCATTTCTTCATTTCTATGCTCAATGTGTTTTAAGGACACAACACAGGGCAATAAAAGTAAAAACAGACAAAAAAAAAACAGTTAAATAAATGAATAGACAAGTAGAGAATATTTCCGTGCTGAAAATTAGCAAGAAAATGTGACGTTTTGGCTGTAGAGCTTCTTCGGGTGAGACGAGAGAGAAGATAATGGGTAAGGTACAGGGCAAGCACTGCTCTCCTTTCCAGATGAACCCTCATCTATTCATACTATTTTGATTACTTCATCAAACTCGTTAAGTGCTTAACTGGACAAGATGAAGGCTTTCCTGGATCTTAGGAAAACATATTGAAAAAGACATTCTATACCTGCTGCACAGGATCTCTTGAGGACTGGAGTTGGGCTCCCATGAGCTAAAGAGATGCCAGTTGTTAGGGCACAATCCCAAATTAAAGGAATCTAAATGAGGAAGAGGGAGGAAGACAATGACAGTCCCTCAGCTGATCTCAAAGGGATTCAACAGAGACCAGATCGGACCGAACCTTTCAGTTTACTGCTGGAGGTCAAAGGTTATCCGTTATCTGAGCGATCAACATTCCCAAAACAGAGATTGAGTCACAACCCCTGGGGCAAAAGAACGCATTTTTTAAGCAAAAAAAACGAGAATCAAAGACTACTTGAAACCTGTGATCATGTTTGTCTGAGTCCACAACTACTATATCCAGAGATATGTTTTAAAAGATTCAAGTGAGGGCTCGTTTCAAAATTTTAAATTTAGATTTTTTTGGGACGTCAGTTAACCATAAAGGTTTCACATAATCCCACAGTTCCAGTTCAGTCTTACATTGTCCAATGGCTGGGAGAGGTTCTGTAACTGAAGTAGAGAGGTATCTGATGAAGTCTAACTGCGGTTGGGTAGAATTTATTAATGAATTTATACTGTATGTGGCCTCAATTGCCGATGGAGAGAGGCCTTTGTTGAAACGCAGAGATCAAATATTGACAGATATCCATGACCTGATCACTGACATTACCGCCTGGGTTCAGAATGTTTTAATCTGGATTTCTGTGGCTACTGCACACCACCTGCATCTCTATTCTGCTGAAAAAGTACTTTTGCTCAGAAGTCTGATTCAGCTACTGGCTAAAACGTGCAACGATATACATATATATTTACATCTATATCTCATTATCCTCATATAAACAGCAACTTAAATGGGAATCAACATCTGTAAACTCATCCAGAGGAACAGCTGGTTTAGGACAACCCCATCCCAGTAGGGTTTACAGGTCACCTCTGAAATCATCCATATCCAAAGGCTTGAGACACTTTTATCGCAATCAACGACAAGTGCTTTGGAAATTATTACCTTCTCTAAATTCCCTTAATGCAAGAACACGCTTAATGAATTACTTAAACTAATTGCTTAATAATTCATGAGTGCTCCCAGTTCTTAGAAAGTGGTAATTTAACATTTACACATACAGGACAGTATTGCAAAATCGTTCTTTTTTTAAAACTCAAGTGTGTAACAAAAACCTGGGAGGCACGCTGGGCTCTTGTCACAATTTCTGTTCCTAACCAACAACGCTGTGCTTCACCTGTTTAACAATACGAGGGGTCTAGAAGAATCCGGCGACCCCTGTGGCTGTGGCTGGAGTTGCCTCATCTATGACACGCATGTGGTTTCCTTCTGGAGACTCTGAACCTCGGAAAACACATCTCTTCCTGTGCATCACTTCCGGGATGAGACAACACTCTGCTCCTTACAACACAAGACTGGAACTAAGACAACCTCTTTGTAAGAAAGCGTGCATAAAGGTACTTTTTTTTTTTATTATTCGTTACGCTTTAACTTTAACACAAAGGTCAAATGTTCAGCTTGCACTGATTTTCATTATAAGCAGTAAAAAAAACAAAACAACGCAAATCCGTTTTTGTGGTTCCGAGGCTATTACATCGTGTAGCTTAAGTGAACAAATACAGCTCAGTCCATTTTCATTTTCAGGGCACAGGCTGTTGGTCTCCCCAGAGCCCCTTGCGCTCAAAGATGAAACGTCAAATAACTGGATTCCTTTGGAACCAAGCCCAGCCTAAATTGGAGTACACAGTGTGCCCATGGAGTGTGTCCAGCTCCCTGCTGCCACATGTGTTGTCCACGGGGATGTTTAAATAGACTTTGGCATGTGGATGTTTCCGTGGTAGTGCTGCAACAGAACAGTGCCACAGCGCCCCCTGCAGGGCTACGCAGAGTGTCTATAGGGCCGCAATAGCCTTGGCGGCTACTCTCCTCCCTAGTGGCAGGCTCAGGTCTGTGATGGCCAGTACCACCTTGGGTTTTGCCAGGGCGGTCAGTTTCACCAGCTCGGACACCTGCACAGGTAAGCAGATGAGAGAGACGTCAGCCAGGGTCCACATAGAGAGGGCGATACAGGGTTGTGGCACGTGTGGACGAGTGAGAGAGGGAAAGAGACCAGGCAGGCACAGGGTTTTCACTTACTTGAAAGCTGCAGATTGTCATCTGCTTCTAAAAGTACAATATCTAAAGTCGCCAAAACATTTAAGCTGCAATCAATTAACGAGGTTATAATAAGGATATTATAAGATCAATTAAGGGTTTCAACAATGTAACAGAGCTCAGCTGGAACAAAAAGGTCTAGGAGTCTTTAAGACTAGAATTGGGAGCTACTGAACTAGATCATCTTTACCACCAGTTGAAATTATTAACATCTTAAGTGAAAAATGTAAAAGAAAATCACCTATACCTATGTGTTTTTTGTATATTTACATAACATGTCTCCTGTATTACGGGAGATTAACACACAAGGCACATTTACTACCGCAAGAACGATTCACAGAGACTTCGCTTCCACCTTGCAGGGAAATCACTACCCTGCACCCTGAGTTCCTAACTCTGCCTCTGCGGCGCATCTGCCAGGGTGCGCCAACAAGGAGCGCCTCACCATGGTGAAGGGCATGAACTGCAGGATGCTTCCGCGGCTGCCCTGCTCCAGGCACTCCACGCACTCCTCCATGAAGCTCTGCACGAACTGCGTGTGCGGCCCCGCGGTCTTCGAACTCAGGATAGATGACACCAGCAGGAACAGGTTCGCTGGAGAGAGAGGGGGAGAGATGAGACAGATGGGGGAGGTGGCGCTGCCCCAGTTTAGCATGGTGCATATTGCTCTCGCGTAACTCGGCAATATGGCTAAATTGCAGCTGCGCTTATCAAACAGGTCACATCAGAGCCGTTCTCTCCAGACAGATTAGAACTGGGGTGCACCGCTCCTGTCCTGACAGAGAGACGCACAGACCAGGGCCAGTGATGGGAAGAGAGGAAAACGGCGGGGCGGACAGGAGAACAGAGCAGAGAGGGTGACGAGGAGGAGCAGGGGAAGAGCGAAGGTGCAGATGAGAAAGGGAAGGGTGGGCTCAGCCCCCTAACACTGACCTCCGAGACACTTAGGTGGTAGAGAGAGAGACGAGACAGATGTGAACAGAGGAACACAGGCCTGAGGGAAACGGAAACGCATGCACAGCTACACTCGCCGCACGTGCCCAGACAGGCAGGAGGGGTCAGTCAGATCGTACCCAGCACACGGTTGAGGGGGTCTCTCATGTTGACAGTGTGTAGCTGGGAGGCCGACAGCGAGCTGCTCATGGACCGGTCCCCTGTGGAAAGACAGAGGCTGAAGGTCAGTGACTCGCACAGCAAGCAGCTTTCCCTAAGAGGAGGGGGGGGGTCAGGACAGAGAGAAGGGAAACGGAAGGCTTGCGTTTGAAGTTTAAAATGTGGGGGGAGGGCTCAGTGAAAGGGAAGAAGACGCAAAAGGAAAGAGAAAGACTTTGAGAAATCGGAGGGGGAGACATAGATCAAAGAAAGTCAAAGGAACACTTATCTAGCGTTGGAGTAATCCCGGGCTTTTTCCCCACTCACTGTACTTTTTTTTCCAGGCTGATGCAACTCATGAACACGGGCTCACATCAAAGGGAACTTTCCCATTTTTCGTGGGAGAAAAGCTGAAAGAGTCTCGATTTCCCAAGAGTGTAACTGTGTAATTGTTTAATTAGGAGCCCGAGCTTCCCGTGCTTACCAAGAGGAAGTGTTGCGAAAGGCAATTTTAGTCAAAAGACCAAGAAGAAGCCTCTCCCCTTGTTAAAAATGCCCTGGTGCTGGAGCCAGAAAGTGCCTGAGCACTTCCCGGCTCTTATCAGGGCCATTCGACCCGGATCTTCTAAGCAAACCCATTTCGATTTCTGCCTTTCTAACTAGATCAAGTGTGAGCAGGTCTCACTTGGCTCAGTCTAGCTCCCTCTGCTAGCTGTCTATACATGTGTATATATGTACAGGGGTCTATACATCCCCCTCTGCTAGCTGTCCATTTCTAAAGAAAAAAAATGTCAGGTTATAAAAGACAAATCTGGAAGACTATTAGTGGCAAAAAGAAATAAAAATGCCTTTAAACAAGATAATACGCCATTTAAACGCCATACTTTGTAAAGAATATTGCCTAATACATATAATTTTGCAATATACTGTATATGCAACACAATTCTTCCATGCAAAGTAGCATTGTCATTAACAGAATAATAAAATCACACTTCTACGTGCAAATAAATTAGTCTGAAGATCATGTGTAATTACTTTTGTATATATGCAGAAGACCGGACTACCTCCCCACCCCTCACCAACACCACACTTGCTTGGGTTTTCTCTGGACGCCCTGGCTTCCAAACACCTGCCAGTGTCATACTAATCGAGGATAGGTTTGCGATTCTAAGCAGAACCCCTTCCCCCATGAGGAAGAGCAGCCTTTGTGCTCCATAAAACGGTGGATTAGCTAATGGACAGGTATGTGGCAAGCATTCAGAACAAACAGCCCGAGTCGGCTTTCTGTCTCCCCCTCTCTAAACAACAGGCAGGCACAGTGCCTGGCACCTCTTGCCATGCTTTGTTATGGTGCTGGCCAGGCCAGTGCAGGATTATACCGGTAGACTTGCTCTGCTGCAGTGGGGCGACCTAAATCACAAACTGGACAATGTTTTCCACTACTCTGACTGTCTGCTGCCCATTGCACTGCACCTCGGTAGTCAAGTCAAGATCTGGGATGAAGTTCAGAATTTTCTACAGCAGGCAAGTGTTTTGTAGCGGCATTTTCCTGGATTGTAAAATGTGGAGGACCGTCACAATCAGACCATCCACCACATTTAAAATGCATAAACCACTTATGTTTGGTGAACACACTGAAAAATATTAGTTGCTTGAGAAGCCGTATCGAAATCATACGATGAGGAGCTGTGTCCATTACATACATTGACTGCCCACATGAATCCTGCCCTGTCAGTGTGCCATGTGCTAGCCATGAGAAAAAATAATTTGCAAAAAAAATGTTTAACCCATCTGCCTTACTTAGTTTTGATCGTACCCAGGAATTTCTTGAAACGGGCCAGGATCGTGATGTTCAAGAACATGAGTGAGTAGCTTGTAACAGACTCCTACATCTCTTTGTGTAAAGACACGCCTCCAACTTTCCATTTCCCATTAGTTTCCATTTACATCACACTATGAGGTATCACTAAACTCGTGAGGCACAGTTTGAGTTTGAGTTATAAACAGATATGCACAGAATTTCTCATCAAAGCATGTCACAGTGAAATTGTTCACTGCATTAGTAGTAGTTTACTTAGAAATAACGCACACAACTTTACCATTACCAGTAAGATTTTGCTGTTTTCAAACTGGTCCAAAGCAGATCAGTGATGTACATTTCCAGGAATGTCTTATACTGACATCTTAAAAGAATCCCTATTATCATGAATAAAGTTCAAATGAACAATTATTCAAATGATCAAGTTCCTAAAAAGATGATGATAATGATGAATGCAGTGTACCTGGGCTGGAAAGAATGACTGGGTCGTCCTCATTGGAACTCAGCAGACGCATCAGCTTGGAGGGCTGCGTGTCGTCCAATGGAAACAGACTGTTGTAATCCTGCAGCCAATGAGAGATCACCAATGTTCATTTCGGAAACGCCACCACGTAAGATACAACAGCCGCATCATGGGATATTACGACTGTGCTTACTATTATCCTTTTTAGCAAGGGTCACAATGAATGAGGAAGAACTGAACCTTTCTTTTTAAAACCATCATCTACAATAAATCAAAACAAAAACCAGCATTTTGGGGGGAAGTGGCAAGTTTCATTTTTTTTTTCCCACTAGATCTGTGACCAAATCCGTCCTTCTTTCTTCAGACTCCGTGTTGACGACCTGCCGATGAGGAAAAAGGCGCTGTCGTCTCGCGCGGGCGCGACTCACCTCGATGTCCTCTCGCTGTCTCTTGCGCTGCCGCGCGGAGGCCTGGCCTTTGTGGTGGGTCGAGTAGGAGCTGAGCGCACACCAGACCGCCAGCCTGCAAACAGAACGCGTCAGAGCGCGGACCCCACAGCCTGCTCCCGTCCCACGACACGCGGGAGAAAAACATTGTGTGCACTCTCTGTTTCTCCCAATCCAGCGTCACGGGGTGGCTGGAGCCTATCCCATCAAGCAGTGGGCACAAGGCAGGGCGCACCCTGGACGGGAAGCCAGCCCATCGCAGGATTTTGTGCACTAATTTTATTAATTGCTGTAAGCCTTAGGTTGTACGCTCCTGTACAGTCCCAGACCATAATGAAGGTAAGGAAAAGGGGAGATCATTTGTCTCATCCATGCTAGCAGCTTATTAGTCAGAGTATCTCACCTCGGCCGGGAGTAAAAATATGCTTCCTAGGGCTAAAACCCATCCATCCATTTTCACTCTGCTTTTCCTGGTAAGGGTCGCGCTCGGGCTAAATACAATCCCTTTTAACTCCTAATTCTGACTCCCAGTTCTTGTTTCATTGCTAACCCTGAAGTACAGAGTTTAATGAACTCTCTGCAACTTTCAGGATGGCTCTAGTTCTGTGCTCGCCCCGTTTTTATGTTTAGGCGACCCTTCCCAAAGCGCTGATCTAGGGCAGACGCGTGTCTCTCCCGCGCCCTGCCCCCAAGAAGGCCTTGTGTTTTGCGACAGCAGCAGCGAGGGTCGTCACGGTGCCTTACTTGGCCAGGGCCTTGCCCGGGGGGTCTGCCAGGCTGTGCCAGCGCGCCGAGTCCGTGAGCAGGCTGGGCAGGATTTGCCCCAGGAGGGTGAGAGTGATCTGCTGCATGTCCAGGCAGAAGATACTGTACAGAAGCTCCACCGCACACATCACCCACTCCTGCCGGGTCCCCCTCAGCAGCTCCTGGGGACACGAGTACATGCACATTGCAGAAACACACAACACACAACACACAACACACAACACACAACACACAACACACAACACACAACACACATTAATAAACATCTGTTAAAGGCCCAGGTTGTTGAGACAGACACTGGAACTCTATATCAGGAACAAGAGCACACAACCAGCTTCATAAAAGTTTTTATAGTGGTTTTTATGAAACTCACTGCTACCTTATCAGCTTTTGGTTGCACAGCCTGCTCACAGCTGAAGAAGGCTCCACAGCCGAACTGCTGAGTCTCTCCATCTCTCCGTTCTGTTTTTAAGCATACAGTGAACCTTTCCTTTGTTGCCAAGTATTGTCCACCTGGGATATATTTTGCGGTCCATTTTATTTGAGCTGTACTGCTTAAAACATACAACCAGACTGCACTTTGCAAAAATGTTGTATCAACAGAAGTATGCATTTCTTCAACATCCGACATTTTCTGTACTGTATTTGTGTTACAAGCTTTAACAATTAATTGAATGAAAGAGTTTGCTATGGACTAATACACACTTAGTCTGGCTTTGAGACTGAAATCCAGGCTGAAAATGGCGCAGGCCGCTCATAAAGTTTAGGAATAAGTGTCCTTCACCTGAAGTATAAGCTAAAGGTTGTAGGAGAGGAGGTCAAAGTGAAGTGCATTGACACGGTCTCTCTACCTGCACCATGTGATCCCCACACTGACTGACCTTGACCAAGTTGTTGGTGAACCAGAAGACCCCCCCCATGTGCAAGAGGCTCTCAAAGAGGTGCAGGGCCTGGCTGTCCACCCAGCCTCGCTGCAGCACCTCCGAGAACTGGTGGCTCAGGGCGGCGCGGATGGGCTCGCGGGGGGCCAGCAGGTTCCGGTAAGGGACAGGCTCCAGGCCCTCCATGGGCGGCCGCAGCACCACGCCGGTCTGCTGGAAGACGTCCGCGCACATGTGCTCCAGGATGGAGCTCATGATCACCACCCTGAGGGGAGAGGGAAAGACAAGACACCTCACGAGACAGAAAGGGAGAAAAAAAAAGAGAGAGAGAGAGACAGGAGGGGGGGACACAGGCTTCGTGTCTTAGGAATGGGTAAATGCTCCGGCACTGGAAACGGAGACAGAGAGAGATGGGGAGGTGGCGGCAAAGCGGACAAATAGCAATTCCCAGCACTGGTCCTGGAGGAACTCTGTCTCCTGGGCCTCATGCCAGCTGGTCCTTACATCGCCACTCCTAAATGCCCGACTTAAATAATCATAATAATATTATTATTAATAATAATAATCTGCTTGCTCATTTAGACTTTTATTTAAAGTGTTTCCTCAGTCAGTTGTGACTTCAGAGGTACTGCTCCAAATGCTCCAGCACACAAAATTCTTCCGTTACCTCTGAATAAATAACCATTGACCACTGCTATTCTGCCTAGGTTGGAAACCAGATAAGATAAGATAAGCTCACTTTATTGGCCATATACAATCTCTTGTATTTGCAATTTGTCTTTACGCAGACCCCAACTTGCTCTCCATGAGACACACAGACAGGGAGAAAAGCTGGGGGTCAGAGCGCAGGGTCAGCCATTTATACAGCGCCCCTGGAGCAGCTGGGGTGAAGGGAGTAGGATTCCTCTGCCAGCCACTGGATTCGAACCGGCAACCTTCCGGCCACAGGCACAGATCCTGAGCCACAGAGCCACCGCTCCGCCCGCACGTGGCCTAAAACCAGTGTCCCACGTAGAAAAGAGGGACGGGGAAGGAATATGAACAGTGGCAGAGAAAGCAGTATTTTTAAAACCATGGCACAGGGAAATGAGGCAGAGAGCTGTGTGTGTGTGTGTGTGGCGGGGGGACAGGAGATGATTTTAAGAGCAACGACGTCCCCTACCGCTCGTTGTAGAACTGCAGGGTGTTCTCCGCAGAGTGTCCGTAGAGAGGCGTCATCAGCTGCCGGATCATGGTCTGGGGCTTCTCCCTCTCGTCCAGGCCCAGCATTCTCACGTGGGCCACCAGCCAAGCCACAGCGCAGATCGCCATGCTGCACACCTTCCCCTTGATGTTGTCGGTGATCTTCTGCTCCAGGGACGGGGGGGGAAGACAGTTGGATCAACAGACGAGCACACACTCGCACCCAGGCTGATGACCACACTGTGCGACGGGTGGAGGAGATGGCTATCAGCAGACAGCTAAGCCAAGATCCTCAGATCATCGCTTGGGGGGGGGGGGTTCATGCCAGCTTGCCATTCTCTCACAGGACCACAGAGTCGGGGGCTGTGGGACGCACACACACACGAGCAGACCTGTACGGACTCCACAGTCAGCACGCCATTCTCCCAGGCGTTCAGCACCTCCAGGATGGCCGCGGGCGTGCTGAGGCAGATTTCGTGCCACTTCATCTGACTGGCAGACACGGGAAGAACGAAAGAAAGGAGGAAACTGCAGTCAGACACATCGGGCCAGTATGAAGTCAGTCTAGGGTAAGGGTAGATTGAGGGGTGGGGACAGGAGTGGACCGACTGTGCAGGAGGGCTCTGCGCCGGGGCTGTTGCCGCTGTGCGACGAGGGGAAGTCGCTCTGGAGCGATTACTCTTGCCTGCCGGCGGAGGGGCGTGCACTCACACGAGCTTCATCTCCGAAGAGTTGTTGAGGAGGGCCACCAGGTTCTCCACTTTCCCCGGCTCGGGCCGGAAGCAGGGGTGGTCGGGGTTCAGGATCTTCCCGTCCTCCGGCATGCAGGTCTGCAGCCAGGTCTCGAAGAAGGGCGTCTCCCCCGAGGGGCTGGGGTCCGACAGGATCACCTGGGGCGGGAGAGGGGAGGATGAGGAGCAGGGAGAGCAAGAGAGTAAGAGGGTGTGCAGACGGTTCAGCTGGCATTCGCTAAAGAGCAGACTCCCCCAAGACGAAATGCAGCAAGAGGACTCGTATACAGAGTGACAAACTTGACAAACAGTGCCAGCTAGTGTCCAACAGAGGCACTGCCTGCAGCACAGCAAGAAATAGTGGCGAAGAACAGACAACCTTTCTTCCCTAAAATAATCTAATCAACAAATTCCCACAGCTGCCAGAAGCAGAAGAGCTTCCAATCCTGCTGGGGGAGGAAACTCCCAGTGTGTGGTCTCCTGTCACAGCAGGATGTCACATGTCCAGTAATATGTTCTTACTGTGAGCGTTAACTGTATCCGCTTCGACAACACTGTAACTTATCAGTTGTGCCAAAAGACTCCTTTAATTGTGGATTAGTGGGAAACCTCTCCAGCCAGAGGAGTCCGAAACTGGGAGATTCTGCTATCAAGGGAAGTAGAGAGCATGAAGATTTAACCGCAGATTGAGAGAAAGCGACATACACTGGTACACAGTGACACCTAGTGGTGTCTTGTGCAAATGGTAAAAGCAAATAACCATTGAGAAAGCCTTTTACTCTAATAGTGATAGTGCATTGAGGGTGGACAGCAAAAGAGCTGCAGGAACAGATGCAGTGCAGATGCACTGAAGAATGGGCAACTGCAACACATACCCCCCATTTCTATGAATGAGACGATCAGTTCAGTCATGCTTGTTTCTGCTAGTTCAATATTCGAGGGCAGAGCCACACAGAAAACCCTGTTTAAAACCCCTTTCTGTATTAGTAACTCCTAACAGATCTGCACCACACGGCAGAGCGCCGCAGTGCAGTTCACCCACTGTGCCACCCGAGAGTGCTGACCTCTGAGCCATAGGTCTGGACCACGTGGCACAGCATGAGGAAGGAAATGTCGAACAGCAGGGCACGCACGGAGGCTGGCTTCGCTGGGGAGAAAAACACAGAGGGAGAGGAGGGCGTCATTCAAAACAGCCTCAAGCTACAAGCCACCAGTTTCCTTCACACACTCTGAGGCATCGCCATCACAGCCAGCGTGACACTTACAGCCTTCCCCGCTGATGTGCTTGGGAAACTCATTCAGCCTAGAGGACAAAGAAAAAAAGCCGTGTTAGAGACCACCACTGAAAACATTCTAACTCTCCATTCAGGCTCTGAGGTTCTCCCCTGTTTGTCCCAATCCTACTGCAGCCTCCACTCCTTCGCCACCTGCCCGTTTCCCTTCTCAGAGACGGCGTCTCCCCTCCTATGCAGGGATGCTCAGGCAGCAGTTGTCCCTGCACGATGATGCGATAATAAGATGCAATGATCTGACTGGCATCATGTTGCACCTGAGTATTTCAGGATTTCAGGGTTTTCTGTGGAGGGGCTGTTTGGTTGGGTGTTGTGCTGTATTGCTTCGTCTCTCGCTCCATCACGCCTCCTTATTGCTGTGCTGTGATGTCATTTTCTGTGGTACTATAAGGTACTGTGTTTGCTTGTGCTGCATTTTGCTACATCATGCTGGAGTGCACAGAGTTTCACAGAGCTGTGCCCTGCTGTACTGTGTTTTGCGGTGTATGGCACAGGCTCTCACTTGATGAACTTCCTGGCAAATGACTTGAGTTTCCCTGTTGCGGCTGCAGCAGCCAAGAGCAGATCCAGACTCTTCCCAGAGAGCATGTGACCCAGCACTCCCAGCAGCCCTTCCGGGGACTTGGAGTGATCAGCATCTACTGTCTGCATAAGGACAGGAAGAAAGAGAGAGGCAAGGAGGTTGGCGTGGAGGTCAGAGAGAGTTATGAGACAGGAGTGGGTACCAGACGCTGTCAGCAGCATCTTTCAGTTCCTCATGCAACCACATCCTTTCAAAAGCAGCCAGAAAGGCTTACAGACCAATGTAAATAAGCTTGTGAAATAAGCATAAAGCACATGAAGAGCAAGTGCACAAATGAGCAAAAATAGCAGCCTGTTCCACCAGATGGGTTCAGGTTGTGGTGGTCCGTTAGGCAGGCTGAGCAGTGGAGTGCCTGCAGACATTTTAATACACGATCCCCCCAAAAATCTTCAATTTACAAAGCCTTCCCAAAGGAGAACCACTTGCCTTTTGTCAACAACACGTTGATAAAACAGGAGCAGAATCCAATTCGCTCCGTGGTAATGACACTGCTAGCACACGGTTCACACCACCCAGTTCGTAAGTGGAGTATTAAACAGCCCGTCTTCTAAAGTAAGGCCCTGTCTGCTGGGCTGCAGGGGAGAGGACAAGCATGCAGGCATCCCGGCCAGCGGTACCTTGAGGATGTTGGTCACGGTGGGCTCCGCGCGCAGGATGAGCCCAGGATTGGGCTGGATGTTGGCGTTTTCGGCCGTCTTTAACCGTGGGGCGTGCTCCCTGTCCACAGCCCTGAAGAAAAATTCAGCGTGGAGAAGGACAGGGGGACCGGAGGGGGAGAGAGAGAGAGAGAGAGAGCAGAACGCGGGGAGGGAGACCAGGAGCGGCAGGAAAGGAAAGCAAAGCGAGGGAGGGAGGCGGAAAGGAAAATAAAAGAGAGGAAGAGGAAGAATGAAAGGGGTCAGCTCCTCGCTCCTCGCTCCAGGGCGGCGCTCTCTCTGGATGACGCACGCAGGGAGCTGACCGATGCTACGTACCGCTTGGTGCTGAGGTTCGAAGTGTTGGCCTCAGACAGCAGGCCCAGCTTCCTGCACTCCTGCAGCAGCAGCTCGATACAGTCACAGCTGCAAGACAGGAGGCAGCTGCAGGACTTATGCAGACTAGGAGAAGGTTCGATTAGGAGGGGGCGGAACGGTGGCGCTGTGGATCGGGATCTGCGCCTGTGGCTGAAAGGGTGCCTAATTTGGAGGTATCTGTAGACTGTAAGTCTTCCCCCTCCCCCGATCATGACCGTTTCTGACGTCAGAACCTCCCTAAAAGGTACGGCACCCTGACGCAGGTTTCCCAGGTTTGTTAGCCCATTGAACTAATAAAAACCCAAGATGGGTTTGCTCATATTCAAAATCTACACTTAGAATAAATAAAATGCACATTAAAAAAATGAAATGATGAACACAACCCTGAGCACAGCTCAACCTATTACACCAGGGCACCTTAAAAACCCTTGTGAGCAGCTGGGAGAAAACGCCCCCCCACCCCCACCCCCCTCCCTGGGGCACTTACTTGCACCTCTGGTCCGCCTTGTCCAGCAGTGGGGTGAGCTTCAGCAGGTACTCAAAGGCAATGTTCACATCCTCCATGAAGTCCTGGCAGACAGAACAGACAGGTGCTTTCAAACACAGACAGCTGGAAGAGGGCTTCTGGGACAGGCGCACACTGCAGCACTGGGCAATCAGAAGCAGAGCGACAGGAACAGGAAGGACCTCCCTGCAAACAGACACACGGCAGACTGGAGCCTGGAGGCCCCAGCAGACATGCAGAGTAAGAGCGACAGACGGATGAATACCTTCTCTCCCTGAGGATACTTCTTCAGCCGGAGGAGTACCTGGGGGATCTGTGGAACAGTAACAGCAGTTTGGTAAAACCACAATGAGGGACACACACATGTGAATGTAGGTCTGCAGGCAGAGGGCAAATACAGACAGACTACAGAGTCATGTTACTGAAGTTCAATCCCAGGCTTCCTTCAAGAAAAGGCTGAGCAAATCCTCAGATCAATAACCTATTTTGCTGCAATGCTTCCTCTCATGTACAGATGCCTCTTATGTTCTTATTACTTCTACTGGCCTCAGTGAGGAAGCTTTGGTTTGATTCACACACATTTCAGCTCTGAGGTGTCAGTAACAACACGTGCAATTAATAAATGAGACAATGCAACTTATAGGAGTCTTAATATTTTAATTACAGTGCCCAACATTCTTTAACATGAAATAACAGGCAGGTGCTAGCGCTGGTCTTTATCAGCACTCAGCGCAAGTCGTCTGCAAGCATTCACATGACTCAGCCATACTATACATTACCATCCATCCATTTTCTACCCACTTTCACCAGTTCAGGGTTGCAGGTGAGCCAGAGCCCATCTGGGCAAGCAATGGGCAGAGGCTGGGGTACGCCCTGGACAGGATGTCAGTCCATCACAGGGCAGACACTCAGACACACCACACCTCACACCAACTCTCCCAGCAGCCAGCGTCCCTACCAGCATGTCTTTGGACAGTGTGAGGAAACCAGAGCACCCAGAGAAAACCCATGGGAAGAACATACACACTCCACCCCAGGAACTGAACCCAGGGCCACGGTGCTGTGAGACAGCAATGCTTACTACCATGCCATCATGTTGCCATAATATGTTTTACCGTGGTAGTCATGCAAAGCATAAAATAGAAACTAAAATGCAGGTTGACAAAAACCAATCAATCCTTAAAGGTTTGCAAAAGAACCTGCGCTGCTTAAAGGGCAACTGCAGAGCACCCCTGTCCCATCGCCCACCTTGAGGAAGGTGAAGGCGGTCCACTTCAGCTCCTCGGTGCCCTCCGGCGACTCGATCAGCCCGGTGAAGCAGGCCTTCCAGATCTCCAGCACGAACAGGGGCGAGGGGATCCGCTGGGGGGGTGGGCAGCAAACACACACACACACAGGGTTAATCCCGGCAAGCCCCTCGCCGTTGCTGCCCTGCTTCCACGGGGACTTACACTGGAGCTGCAAGAACCGTCAGTGCAAAAAACCACACACCCACACACATACATATATATATAAACCACGTGTGGGACATCTCCTGGTCACCCATGTAAAAGGTGCAATAATATTCCCAGGGTTGCTCCCATGAGGGGTTCAGCTCAAAAAGCAAAGGCACGAGACTTACAGTTCTCAAAAAAGAAAAGCTTGTCCTCACAAAGCACTCATTCAGAGGATGCTCAGCGAACGCTGGGCGCCTAAGCGCTTTTACAGCCGGACCACAGCGATGCCAACAGGTGCACCTTGCCAATGGAGCCCTCATCTGCTTCCCACACACTTGCCTGCCCCTATGCGGCCGTCGAGACCTCGAGTCTGACTCCAGTCTGCGTGGCGGCGCTCTCCTCCTCGCAGTGGGGAGTCCCTGCGGGAGGGGGCGGGGCCGGCACCCCCCGCTCACCTGCATCCTCTTGATCATCATGAGCTGCTCCACCAGGGGCTGCGTCTCCCCGGTCAGGTTCATGGTGCCCTCCAGCATGACCAGGGTGTGCACCGAGGGGAAGGAGGTGCGCTGGGGGGGCTCGGCCTGCACCACCAGCATCAGGGGGATACTGGGGGAGAGGGGCGGAGACAAGTAGGAACCAGGGAAGGGGCCGGGAAAGAAAAGAGGAGAAAAGATGGACAGAAGGAGGAGGGGTCAGGACTCATACAACTGTCTTCACACCCCGCATACACAACTGTCATGAGCTTACAGACAGAATAAGGTCAGAACCCATTGAGCTTGAGGTATGAGATGCCCCCTTACGTTATATATAACACCACCCTCTTGAAGTATGAAGAACGCCTGTACATGATAAGACGTCCCCTTGAGGTATGGGGAACCCCTGTCTTATATAACACCTCCCCATCTTACAGGTTATGAGGTAAGGTTCCCCTTGAAGGCTCTCGTGACATTGAAGAAATGCTGCACCGCGAGAAAGCATGGCACAGATCAAAGGCTACAGCAGCCTGCATTAATAAGGTTTATTTGAGTAGGCCAGTCTTGATCTGTGTGGAAATGATTTCTTTCACAGGTTACCGGGTGCACTTATCTAAAGAGCCAATATCATCACCACAACCCCGCCCTGCGCTCACCTCTTCACCAATGACAGGCACTCCTCCAGCTTGCTCCTCAGCACCTGATTGGTCAAACTGTTGAGGTTCTCCGTCACTCGGATCACCGCCTGCTCCACATTGGTCCAGGAGGCTGTCAATCACAACCAGGGGAAGGCGGGACAAGACCGTGGTCTCAGTTTGCTTCTACAGTGGCCGTGTGCATGTTTCTGGAATGTCAGATTCCTGCGCTCATGACAGAAACTGCACCGCTAACGGACAAAAGAATGCTGCATTTGTGATGAGAGCTTGTGGCGACTGTGGTGTGCAAATGGTTTGTCACAGCATATCTAAAAAAAAAAAAAAACAGTCCCCTAACCCCCTGAGCGGGGCACTGACCCTGCTCCTCCAGCCGGGCGATGTGGATCAGGGCCCGGTTCTTGGTGCCCCGCAGGAGCCCCTCCAGCCGGTCCACGCAGGCCCGCAGGCTGGCCTCCCCCGCCTGCTCCCCCTGCTCGCGCAGCCGCGCGCTGTACCAGGCGCAGCCCTGCAGCAGCCACACCAGCGCGGCCAGCAGGGAGCGGCACAGCCCGATGCACTCCTCCGCCTTGCCGTGGCAGCTGGGGAGAAGGAGCGTAAGACAAGAGGTGCACAACGGGGGGGGGGGTGTTGGCACAGCCACACGCTTTCCATAACACCAGCGATGATCCGTCAGGCTGTGCCTGCCTCCGCCCATAATCAGGACTGGGTAAGGGTCCCTTGGGGAGCCCTACAGATAAGCCCGACTTCACCTCTTGGGGGGACCGTCCCCTGGCTCCTGGACAGACGACACCAGTGCCCCCACCCCTGGCACAGACTGGTAGCAAGGAAGAGATTTGCCCACGGACAGGTAGTGAGACAGGGAGCCCAATCGCCTTTCACCAAGGGATCAAAACCCTGGGGGACAGTGAAGCCTCACTTGCACAGCTTTTGGGAAGCGGGTGGAAACCGGAGAACCAGGAAACCAGCAAGGACCATGCAAGCTCCACACACACAGGCAATACAGGCCGGGACTGATCCACACATCCGCAACACAGCTGGGCAGCCTGATCCACTCTGCGAAGAATATGACCTCCGTTGACCTATCAGTATGTTATTCACAATGTGGGGTAATTCCTCGCCTACCTGAGCTGATGGGAGAACATGTCCATTATCTCCAGCAGGGACTTGACGCAGAGCTCCCGGGAGAAATCGTCAAACTGGGGACCAATCAGAATAAACAGGGTGGTGAGGGTCAGTCACGTGCCCAGCTTCCAAACAGATTGAGAACAGAAGCAGAGGACACCTGTCTTATTAAACATCACCGGGATCTACAGCTGCAGAATGCATTAACTTTTTAACTTTTTGGGAATTAATTAAAAAGAACACCGTGGAATATCTATTATCCAAGTACAGTAGAAATGTGATTTATATTAACTAATGCACACTGCAGATGTTTTGCTTTGGCAATAAAAAAAAAAAACATATACCCACCTTACTAACAGCTGTCAAAATGCTGGAATAGGAAACCATCTAGGGGAGAAATAAGATGACGAGAGTTAATTTTACTGTCTATATCAATGTCAATGTCAATATCGCCTCACCACTCTGACCCACAGATCAAAGCATGTCTCAAACCAAAAATCCCTCCATTAAACCTCCAATCCACCCTGTACTCCTGGCACTGTACCTGCGAACTGATGGCGTACTTCAGGTAGGACAGGATGAGAGGGTTGGGCGACAGTCCAATCATGGCCTGCTCCAGGAGAGCTTCTGCACACAGGGGACAACAAATACCCAGTATGACGCATCAGAACGCCCAAAGAAGAACCCACTAGACTGTGTCCAGACCTGAAACTCCATTCAACAAAGCGACTATACCACACATACTGCATGCTCCTCAAGGGGCACAATGTAATAGAAAAAGTTAGTCATAGGTGCAGTGTTTCTTGTCCAAGCTGCAAGAATTAACAAAAGATATCACTGTTGTTCGTTTACTATTACCACCCACAATTAAGTGGCTCCATCGCCCACCAGATCATCTTGGCTTGGAGCTGGGCAGAGATGTGCAGACATCCAGTAGCTGTAACTTTCACCATCCCTCATCAACAAGCAAGCATAGAGCCATCTGCTGTATCACCCTGCAACCCACTGAAGCTCAGCAGGTGTGAGCCTGGTCAGTACCTGGATGGGAGACCTCCTGGGAAAAACTAAGGTTGCTGCTGGAAGAGGTGTGAGTGGGACTGGTAGGGAGCGCTCACCCTGCGGTATGTGTGGGTCCTAATGCCCTAATGAGACGTAAAGGACATCAAGACACTGTCTGCCAGTCAGCGACGGGAACACACACAGAGGCACGACTGACCAGCCAGGTTGAGGTAGTCCCAGGTAGCTCCCTTGGGGAAGTTCTTCTTGATGTTGATGGCCCACTGAAAGTCACTCCAGCGCTCCTTCCAGGCCTGCAGGATGGCCTGCTTGAGATTCACCACCTTCATCTCGTGCGCTACACCACCCCGTCACACCGACACGCCGACACGCCGCTGGGGAGAGCACACAGGCTATTTCTGGCTGTGCCAACTCCAGGCCAGCAACTTGTGCTTTTATATATTTCATTCTTACACCACAATTTGTGCAAATTCCCATTCTAGGTATGGAGAGCTTCACCCACCTCCCATCACTATTGCCTTATTAAATATTAGACTGCTCAAATGTAGAGTTGTCAGAAAATAAACAAGGTCTATATTAAAGAACACAATACATTCATTTCTAAAATAGCCTTCAAGGCCTTAACGGATCACAGATCTTTACAATTACAATCTTACGTCCAGGTGTCTAACAGTTAATTAACCACCTGCAAAGTTTAGCACAGCCATGGCATGAAGGAGCTATGAACAGCAACCTGCAGGCCTCACAAGACAAATACCGTGTAAACAACGCAGGGTTTAACTGGAAACAACTGCGTTGCTTCGGAAGCCCCAGATATTCAGTATTAACCGTCAACCACAAACCAATTACAACGTGTGAACAATGACGCTGCACATATCCCGAAAAAGAATTCAAAATGCAAGTAGAGGCGCTTAAACTTGAGAGGATTCTCGAGTAGTTCACGTTCCCCTTCACGATAAGTCAGATCCGGGAACACTGGAGACTTCGGTAATAAAATCCCTCCACAAGTGGGGTGGCACTTGTCAACACAAGCCTGAAAACGCGTGAGTGTTTTTGTACTGTGAAAATGTATTGCCAGCGAAAATGTTTCAATTACTGCAGCGTAAAACTCTGCCCCAGAAAGTTCAGTGGCAGTTTCGCCTCAGCCTCTCACAGTTTATTCACTGTAAGATAGCTAAAGGTGGGGATAGAGTAGAGTTTCAAGAACCCACAGGGGATTTATCACACACTTTATAAATAAACCCAGGCTGTCCAATTTTCCATTTCTCCGACGGCTCCATGTAACCACGAAAATAAATTAAAAGTGCGGTATAGGGCGGTTACACAAACCTTGAAGCGTTCAAACATACTACACTGCTCAAATGTAGAGATGTCGGCAAATAAACAAGGTCCATATTTAAGAACACTATACAATTTCCCCACAACAAGAGTAAGAATATGGGAAAAAAAAGTGTTCACGGGCGGGTCACCTCCTTTCCCGAAACGGTCTAGTCAAATGTGTGAAATTCTCAACAAAAGCATCGCGTTCAAAGTGCTAACGGTAAAGCTTTTTGGAAACTATACAGAATATAGTTAATTATCACCTAAATGATACAATACTTACATTTTAATATTTAACGCATAAAAGCGAACCAGCATAACAAAACCAATTCAAGCCCTCTTCCTACTGGCCTGACTGTCCGGATTCATGTGTCAGAACCGCATTAAAGGATCATGGCTTCCTTTGCTCTGCAGGCGACGGGAGATTTATTTTTTACGTATTTCCTTCCAGCTGAACCTGCAGGCAGGGAGATGTGAAGCGCAGACAATTGAGCCTTGGGACAATAAAAGTCTTGTATTTGATATTTTATTGATTTATATATGTACAATGGGAGTAATTATTCGGGATGGGAACCTGTAAAGCTTATATGATCGCAATTTTGCTTAAAACTCCCTTAAAAACCTAAAAAATGAAAAAGGCAACCCTCCCCCACACACACACAATTTATGTAAAAATATGAAACTATTGCGTTCTGATTTGAAAGTACCCTGGCACCGTGTTGTTGTTTTTTTCGTTCACTTATATTTTGATCTTTTTTGGAAACCTTTTCTCCGTTACATGTATTATTTGATGCTCAATAAAAGCTTAAAATATATATATTTATTTATTTATACGGATAGGGGAATTGGAAGAAACCCACCTTTGATAAGGAGCAAGTTTTTAATGCGGTTGTGTTACGTAAACCAAGACCATGTCGCGCCTCTGATGTCATTCTTCTAAAAAAAAAAGGTACAAAGCTCTCACTGTGATTGGTTGCTCGACCAGCCACTATGCAATCGCCTAATAGGTTAAAACGCAAACCGGCTGTAAGGGATTGTGGGAGTTGTAGTGCTTGTCAACCTGATCATATTTGAGGTATAGAAGGCAAAGGTTTACTTATGCTGAAAGGAAAAGAAAAGAGACACATTTCGACTGTAGGAGTGATGGATGTGTGCTGATGTTCTACTTGTATTTTGATAGCTGTGAGATGAAACTTAGGATCATAATTACAAGACTGGGGGGGGGAAAAAGGCACAAAGAGTTTTTCTAGGCAGCCCTACCGCGACGACACCTACTGGTGAAGCTGTTTCTCACCTCTCTGCCTGATCGGCGAGGTCGGGCAGCTGGTGCAGAATGACAGTCCTGCAGTCCACGTCCTAGAGCAGCAGTTCCCCGTCCCAGTCCTGGTGACCCCCAGACCTGCTGGTCGGTGTTCCAGTTACACAATCAAATCCTTCGTTGACCTAATAATAATCAGGTGGGGAGCTGCGTCAGCATGCGTAGGCTGCAAAGGAACAAGTAATGGGTTTATTCCATGCTGAAAAAAAGAAGAAAGACAACACAACGTTTCTCAGGTGACACCTGAAGAAGGCTCCACGGCCGAAACGTTGCGTTCTCTTTCTTCTTTTTTTCAGCATGGAATAAACCTATTACTTTTGAAGCGTTTGCTCCCGGCTCTTAAACATGCTGCAGCGTTAGCCAGTGTATGTTGTAAGTGAAATGAAATTGCGACTGAAAACAAGAAGCAAATATTGCAGTGAAAATCTGGAATGAAAACCAGCAGTGTGGGAACCTCTGACTTACAGTAGATGGTCCTCCAGCATGTGAAGTGCCTCTGTATGATGTAAACTCAAGGAATTAGAATTCAATTACAGGGTTTAATCAGGATATTGTTTGGTTTATCTACCCTAAAACCAAATACAAGACACCCACTGACTTTCATATTGACCCCACACAGCACTATACTGCAGTGAACTGTTCGTTAGCATGCAGGATTAAAAAATAATGCTGAAAAGAATATGATGAATGGAATACTTATAACAAATGCTAAAACACGGGGCTTAGACAGGCTGCGAGATCAATCAGCTGCTTAAGGCATAAGAACAACCCACCACTACACAACAAGCTTGTCCAAAACCACAAGACCTCTTGATAGAAATATGTTTCTATTGTCATGTCAGTGTAGCTCTCAGGCAAATTCCTTTAGACTGATATTGTAGTTTGTAGGAGTTTTTCATGTTTTCATCACAGGAAAAAAAAAACTAATCGCACCTACTGATTTTTTTTAAATAATTCCATTTATTTCCAACATATATAGAACTTGTTTTCTCAGGGGTTGCATTGTTTTTTTTAAAGCACTGAACCATGTAAATATTAAAGGGACTTGTTTCATGCAGGCTGGCTTAGCAATGTTACACCATTTCATATTAGCAACATTTTAAAAACAATTAATATTTTTTGTTTCTCTAATATGTTACACATTTGAAGACCATATGTACAAAAAGGTAAAATAAACTTTACAGCAAATATTTGCATACATTTTTAAAACAACAATAATACATATGCATAGAACATACAGATTCATTTCTGTGTCTTTTTCCTTGTTTGTGTATTTGACAGTTCTTGTCCAAGGCCTCAGAGGAATGGTCAGATTTTTGTTTTGATTAGTTCTGCTGGAAGATGAACAGTCTGCCTCCACCCTGTAAATTCAATTCTCCTGGAATGAAAAGCACAGTACCAGTTTTATTCTTCGATTTCCCCTTGACCAGTGTCAACGAGTTTCCTGCAAACATAAGAACAGTCGGTTGCTTTTGTTTGGGGGAAAAAAATAAAAAATAAAAACACTTTTATTTCCCCCATAGCAGCATTTAAGTTTTGTATTCATTTCAGACATGAATAAGGAAACTGCATAGTTGTCTTTTTTTGGAGTGTGCTTTTATCAGCCTTCAGAGAGGTATGCCATATTATTGTAACCTTGGAGATCTTGCTAACTTAAGGTAGAAGGAACAGGATAACGTAGGAGGTGGAGTAGTAAAATAAATGTAAAAAAATGGGTAAAATGATCAAAACTAAAAACTGAGTGTTGCGTTGTTTCTTATTTTTCAAGGGAACACAGAGCATTATGCCCTCACAACACACATCAGAAATGAGGCACTTCTAGGACTTCTTCAGAAAAAGAAAATGGGAATCTTGAATAAAAAAACAAAACAAGATTGTGTTACCATTTTACCCTGCAGTAGGCACAACACAGTCCAGGGGTTCACACAGTCAAGGGAACGGGCATCGCAAACGCTCAGAATTTGCTTCCCCGAATGGACGAGGAACATTGATGATAACTGTCCACTGGGGGGGGCAACAGGATTCCTTGTTTCACTCAGGCAGGTCTCCCAGCTTGAACACACTGCTCATCGACTCGGGTTGAGGCAAGAAACTCCTCAGAAACTGTCATGGGAGATCACACTTAAACTTCCAGTTGCAAAGGAAGCAGAGCTACAAGTGCATTTATCATCAAAGCACGGTGTGTAAGGGTAAAGTACTGTAGATACTAAGGAGATGCCAAGCGGGTGTGTTAATTTTAGTGACACTCTGCAGCCAGACTGAAGCAATATGTCCCTTTTATTGTGTCATCTGCTCCGATCCAAAATCATGTCTTAAACTAATCTTCCTTCCGTTTTTTTTTTGTCTCCAATCCATTCAGGAACCAGTCCAGGTATCTCCAGTCACATGGCCTGCATGTTTCCTGTCTGAAGACCTCTCACTTCCCGTACAGAGTTGACTTTCAGTGGACACGGCCTTCTTAGAATGCCTTTCATTTTGCATTCGCTATCAAGCTCTGCCAAGCCACGTCCCAATACAATCACTCCTGTGCAGAGCTCTGCCACAGTGATGGAATTGCCTGACTTTTCAATATCACATCCGCCCCTATGGTACACAGAGCATCCTGTCTGCGTGCCTGCCTGACTGCCTGTGCACCCAAAAACAAAACCCTGAAGGGGGAGATGAAGCATCAAAAACCCATGTTAGCTGTATAAATAAAATCTGCAGGTGACACAAACCCTGGAATACAAGGGATGGCAGATCAGAAGTGTCAAGGACTGGACATGGGCTTCTGTTGCTAGCTTGCTTCTTACAATGTGTTTAAAATGCACCTTCAGCAGGTGGTCCTGCAGGGCACGGGGGGGGGAGGGGGGTGAAATGATTTGTCCCAGCAGTGGCCAGATGGTTGGACTAAGCTATTCCCCCAAGGCCTGCGAGCAGTGGCCGCAGAGAGGATGCCATGGACAGATGACTCATCCACAACAGAAGGTGCGGTTCTCTGTTGGAATGTGACCAATGGTCCTCATCGTTCAGGGGCAGGGAAGAGGCTAAAAGTGCCAAGGGCGCACAGCCGAAGAAGGGCGCCGCCTTGTGGTTAAACCGAACAGCAGCCTGGTCGCCCTTTGGTTTCGCTGGTCAGCCGTGACGGGGGTGGCCTCCACATGCATACATCCCAATGTGCCTCACAAAAAGAAGCAACTAATCACTGCTGCATCAAGGCAGGAGTGTGGAAATACAGTTGTCGAGAATTTCTTTCTTTAAGGTGACCAATCTAAGGGCCGAGGGGGAGTGGGTTACTGCAGGTGGGAAAATAATCATATTGCTTAAATCTTGGCAGCAGGGAGGCAAAACAGACTAAAGGTCCATAACACCCTGTTCTAACATGCCGAGGGACTTCTAGACCTTCTCCAACAGGTTTCTATTTCATTTTCTGATTGTTGACAATTTTGCAATGTATTATTGGTTAACTCTTCTTTGTTGCTTCTGCTCATGTTCCTAGTTCCCTGCGTAATCTGGCATTTTGAGCTGAAAAGAAGAGCTTCTGAAAAAAAGACTCCTCCAGACTGACTGCATACACTCCTTAAGAGGGGGCGGGGGAGCAAAATTATGCTGCACTCCGACTGTAAAAGCACTGTGCTGTATGCAACACTGATAAAACTCCCCCTGGAACAGCCAGCATGGGTCTCCTCTGTAGCAGAAACTAAAATTACAGACTACACTACTTTTAGTTAGGGCAACAGTACCTCACCCACTGGGACACACAAACAAGAATGCTTTAGGGCCCTAAAAGGTCAATATAGGCAAATCTGGCAGGTCTGGCTACCCAGAGAGAAACACGCTGAGCTCCCACTACAAGCGGGGAGGAAAAAGAGAAAGAGATGCTCTTTCTGCGGCACTGCAAGAAAACCTCTGGATAAAGATCAACATTCCTCCCCACGTTAGCAAAGCTAATCCCTCACATGTACGATTCACAAGAGCTTCCAGTCCTAGATTTCCAGACATGACAAGAGATATAAAGTTTTTAAATGGTGCCGTGTTTTATGAACACACTTTTACCCTTACACACACACACACAAGGCTCCCTTCTAAAATTAAGAATAAATGATTTTTTTTTTATTGATATAAGGCAGATCCTGACTAGGAGACTTAAATAGTACAATCATCTGATGCTCCAGTAATACGTTCTGTGAAGACACTTTCAGGTTTGTGTCTGAATGAACTGCTGTATGTCAAATACACAGAAAGACCCCAGCGGTCCTTCCCCCATATCAACACACCAAAGGACCACATTTCTACTGTAACACGTCCACACAAATGCAATAATTAAGACCTTCAGACCATACAGCTCACCAATTCACAATCTGTCAAAAGGCTGCAGCCAACAAGCCCATGTAAACACAGTCCTGATAGTTCAGATCTCTCCCCCCACCTGTCTGATAACAACATCCAATAAAAAAAAAACACTCTTTACCCAACAACCTGGACGCACCCAGAATTCCCCCCACCCACCTGCAAACATTGGGAAATATGGCCAAAACACGAAATCCAAATATCGTTAGTATCATTACGGTCGCAGAAAAGAAGTATCAAAACAACAGCCAGGAAAAGGCCTAGTGTCAGAATTCAGTAAGGAAACTATGAAAACTAGTTGTTGTCCTCAAACAAATGACTACGTGTATGAATATATATATAGCCCGTGTGTATGTATAAAAAGTACATCTGTTTGTAAAAGTAGTTAGGCATTTTAACCCCTTCCCCAGAAGATTTTCTCTTCTATGACACGAGGGCATTCCAGATCTCAATAACTTTGTCCAGAGTTCCCAGCTGTGGGGACACAGACCGCCATCATCTCACTGGGAGAGGAAGCTCTGATGACGCCTCGACTGGGAAGTCTTGGAAAGTTGCATAGATTATGCCTGAAGTTCTTTCTAGTGCACGATCCTTTCCGGTGTCACTTGTCTCTCTCGAGCCAGCCCTAGTGGCGATCGTCCCTCTCTTTCAAGTCCTTGCCAACAGAAACAATGGTACGGCGCCCCAAATTGAAGGCTAGATACATCGCAGAAGTGTTCCCGGCAAGGAGGAGGAGGGATTTCACTGAGTGACAGGGCTAGGCAAAGTGCTCCCAGAACTCTCCGTCTGATCACTGCACCTCTGTGAGGAAATAGTCCCCCCCGCAGGAAGCTGTTTTATTACATCTGCTAGAAGCAGTTGGAGAAGCATAGCACGGCATTTGATTTTTCTATATAATAGTCATATGAGGGCTTTAAAACCCACGGATGTTGTATTTTAAGCTCCTTTCTTTTATATGCATCAATACCCCCCCCAAATTAGCCTCCACGTGGCCACCTTCTTGTTGAAACAGGAGGTGCTGACAGTGAGGAAGTGGAGAGCTCCAGGCTGCAGGCAGTGGGAGGGCCAGCAGGGGGCAGTGTGGAAGGTCCTGCAGTGGAAGCACTTAAACATACTTCTCACAGACCACCTGCATCCACTGAGCTGCTCACTCTGCGTCCTAGACCGACTGGGACACTAGTCTCATCGAACAGCTAGGGCATGTGTTCTGGATCTGTTCGCCAAGCGCTCTCTTTGACAAAGGAGCCATGCTGTCTTCAACCCCCCAGAATACTGCTACTTCTAAAAAGGAGCTGTTTTCTGGGGACGTCACTCTTGAGGAGAATGAAAAACAAACTCCGAGGGGGAATTAATGCTAGGCTCAGCACTGATGCCCCCCTTTTTCAAGAGTGTACCTTCATGTCGCCCTTCCTGGGGAGGGGGGAGCCCCTTGTTTTCAGTCTATAACTCCTCAGGCAGGGCCGTCCACTCCGGGTCCTGGAGGGCTGCTGTGCCTATAGATTTTCATTCTAGCTCGGCCATTAACGAGCTCAATTAGTATGGTATTGTCTTAATTGGACTAATTGGACAGCTTCTTCCAACTCTTCAGGTGTTGCTGTTTTAAAACAATCGAGAACCCCCCCCAAAAAAAACCAACCCCCCCCCCGATCAGGGGAGACACCCATTTTCTAGGGGGGAAACAGAAAAGACTGTGAGGGAATATTTTCATTACTTCTTTAAGCTGTCAAGCTCCAAAGCAAAAGCCAGGATCAACGAGTTCTACTGAAAATGCCCTGTAGTCCATACACAATAAGTGCTTTAGTGAAATGCATGTTGTTTTTTTAATCCACACCAGTCAAGAGTATTTCCCAGGATAACAGGAGAACCCCCAGCAGCCATGTGAACAGGGCTGTCCAGGAGAGGAACAGTCTCTTTACACAGGAACACCCCGAGAGTTCAGATCACAATAAAAGTACTTCTTTTTCTTACAAAAAATATATAATATATATATACTGTATATAAAACAAAAAATAAAAAAAAACATAGGGAAAACATTTCAAGTAACAGTTTAAAGGAAATGACTGTGCATGGGATGCACTGATGTAAACAATGGAAAAAAAAACAAATCAGACTGTAATTATATACACACTGAGGTTAACTTAGCAAGGCTTTGTACAAATGTTACAAAAGTCGCACTCACACACACATGCACAGACACACAACAGGGCTGTGAAGGCTGCCTGGTGCCAGGCAGTGAGCCAGGGGCACAGAGCGAGCCAGGCTGCACCCAGTGTGCTGGTTTACGCCGTTCTCACAACTTCGCGCCACCCGAGCAGGTGGCGGTGCAGAGCAGGGGTTCCCAAACCCGGTTGTGGGGACCCCCACACTTGCTGGTAGTCATTGCAGCTGAGCTCCGTGCGGGAAAGGATCCTTAACTGAACCAACAAGCAGCTAGGATGCAACCTGTTAACGTTTTTAAAAAAAATAAAATTACTTTAGAGATGCAATAGTAAAAAAGCCGTATGCTCAGGGACTGAAAACAATTGAAGAGCTTGGCGGAAGGCTATTATTATGTCTGGGAAGGGTGAATGACTTGATGGAGGGCTCTGGCAGAGCCAAAACAAACAGGTGGGTCCCCCAGACCCAGGAGTTGGGACCCCCTGGTGCAGGGTTTTGCCACATGTGAGGCCAATGACAAATGTTTCTTCAAAAGGGACTGGAGAGGACCATGGCTGGCAATCAAGGAGTCCACTGGAGCTGATCTCCCTTCCTCCCATTCCTCCATAATCTCAGCCTCGCAGCCACTTCAGCACTCTGCCCCCCTCACAGTGTCCGCTGCCCGATGACCACGCAAGTGACCAGCGGTAAACTCGCGCTGGTGTCTACCGCGAGAGCACGTGCTTCAGAAAGCAGAGAACAGTCGCTCTTCTAGCTGAAATCTACGAGGATTAATGGTCGAGAGACTGTTTTAGATGTCTTCCATTTTCACTCTTTGCAAACCGATGTTCCCAGACAAAGGGAACATCGCCAAGCTAGATCGTTCCTCACGAACTGAAAAGACACTTGCCTTTGCAACCCACCTGACCTCTGCTACCTACTGCATATGGTGTACACCTGTCCGTCGTTCTTTCTGCTCAGATTTTTAAACGCATGGGGGAAGCAAATTACTGTTGCACCTGCCCAACAGGCACACCATCCTGGCACGACACCGAAACCCTTCCTCTTGTGGCTTCCTCATATTCGGTTTTCAGAACTGTATTCAAAAGGTATTGCATGTTAAATTACTGACCACAGCAGTTTAACAATCTAAGCAGAACATGACAGTATACAGACTGAAGGAATGATGGATTCATTAGGGCATGTGAACTGTTCCCTTAAAGCTCCAAGAGCTCGGTCTAAAAACACTGGTCTCAGTCCACTTGGGGCGTAGGACTGCCTTTAAAAAGAGGTCTACAGCACTGTATATGCATGTACAGTACATGCAACTGATCCTTATTCATAGAGAATGAAGACGTGACAGCGCTTACACCCAGACCCCTGCTGTAACACTGACTGTGTAATACTGTTGAGCACACCGATCTGATGTTCAAGACCCACTATGGTTCCCCGCCAATGCTCATACCTTGGCCACTCTACAGACCCATGCAAGCATATTGGAGGGCTGCGACTCCCATCACTGTCCTTGGTACCCTGTAGGCATTTTTGCCCCGGCTGGCCGGAGAGGGCCCCCTTTGTCCCCAGGAAGGGCGCAGGTAGAAGCCCCTTACTGAGTCAACGTGTCATCTGACCACGACATTTCAGTAAGCCGCATGACCCAGGACCCCTGCGGGTGGAGAATGCGTGTATTAGCTGCTGTTGTGTTCTTTTTGAAAAAATCGGATGGTAAAAGATCCCTGCAAAGCACTGTAGATCGCAGTTTTGTTTCTGTTCCGTCTCGGAGTTTTTGTCTTTTCCTCAATCTCCTCTCTCAGGTTTCCGCGGTGTCGTAAGAAAGCAGGAACATCCCTTTCCGACCTCAGTCTCTCCCGACGGCACGAGCTTCTTCTGCCCTCCTGCCAGCCGTGTGGGCGCACCTTCTCTGCTCTTGGGACAGGAGCCGTCCCAAGAGGCCTGAGGGGGCCTGGCGATCCCAGGGCCGGAGCAGCTCCCCATGGTGGTCCCTGCCGGTGTCGCTACAGGTACTGGCGGATCCTGGAAGGGGCTGCGTGTGCGTGCGGCTGTGCTGGGCAGGGCGGGGGCGTGGGATCAGGAGCGGGAGGGGCGCCCCGGGCGCCGGGCTTGGCCGCCCCAGTCTGATCGGAGCTCCTGAGCACCCCCTGGTCCTCGGATTTGGGGGGCGCGGACGCGAGCGACAGGCGTTGGCCCCCAGAGCCGGCCCGGCCCCCTCCCTCCTCGGGGGGGCGCGGCTCGGCCGCCCCGCCGCTGAGGTGCACCACCACGGTGTGGCGGCGCCAGGCGCTCTTCTTGCGCCGCGTCTCGGGGGAGTGGGGCTTGCGCATGCCCACCCCGAACATGTCGTCCGCCGAGCTGAGCAGCCGGGCGCGCACCTGCTCGGCCAGGGAGCCCCGCCCCCCCTCCGGCCCGGCGGTCTGGGGCGGGCCGGGGGGCTCCTTGGCCCTGCTGTGCACCGGGGCCCCCGAGACACCCGGCCTCCCCTCCTCCTGGGAGGCCGGCCCCAGCTCCAGCTCCAGGTCCAGGTCCAGGGAGCGAGCCTTGGCCTTGTCCCCCTTCAGCTTCTTCCTGGCCAGCGTGTCGCACTGGATGAGCTTGTGGGAGTTGAAGGAGGGCCGGCTGTGCAGCCGCTGCGCGGTGGAGGAGGACGAGAAGGAGGAGGGGGTGGTGGAGCGGGCCCCCTCGATCCTGTCCCCGGGCTCCGGGGGCTCCTCTCCCGCCAGCGGGGACTGCCGGGGTGCCGGGGGGGGCTTGTAGTGGCTGTAGAGGAAGCTGCGGGGGGCCGGGGGCGGCTTCTCGGGCCTCTCCTGAGTGAGGGAGCGCGAGGCGAAGCCGCTCTCGTTGTCCGTCTCGCTCACCAGCTCGCTGCGCTCGTCGTCCGCCTCGTCGCCGCGGCCCTCGGAGGCCAGGCTGCGGCCCAGCGTGGACAGGGTGGAGTAGCCGGACACGATGGAGCGCGAGTCCTCCGGGGCGCGCCACGGCCTGGGCTTCACCGCCGCCGCCGCCGCCGCCGCGTCCTCCTGCGCCCCCTGCTCCTGCCCCTGGGGTTGCCCCGCCGCCACCTGCTTCTCCTCCTCCTCCTCGTCCTTCTCCTCCTCCTCCTCCTCTTCTCCATCCCCGAGAGGCTCTGCGTCTCCCGCCTCCTCCTCCTCCTCCTCCCCCTGCGGCGGCCGGCGCCCCCCCCGGTTGCTGGCCTTGACGGGCTCGTGCTCGGAGTCCTCGTCGGTGCTGCTGCCCAGCAGCCGGGCGTCGCGGCGCTTCTTGCGCTTGCGGGTGACGGCAGACATCATGATGGACAAGGTCAGGAAGTCCTTGGCATGCAGATCCCGCTTGGACCCCCAGGAGCCCTGGGTACACACACAGGGACGACACGGCACATGACTCACAGGACCCCAGACTGCACACTGGCACTCGGCCCCAGTACAAGACTGAGCCGAAAATTAACTGGGAACTGGAAAAGTTTTCCCACTTAAAAGACAGCCCAGAGTCCGGCTCAGAAGTTAAAAGACGTGCGCATGGGAGCGAAACACACGGAGATGCTTGGCGTATTTTTCTCAACGTAATTAAACTAGAGCAGTCCTTAAATATTTTCCCCTTATCCAGCATGCTTCCCTGTGCTTACAAGATTGGCAGTGTTCCCAAATCACGCACATCTTCCTACTTCCCTATTTGCCAAAGATCACTTCTTTTATAATACAATTGGTTATTTAGGTTCGTCGCACGAGTTCCTATATAACAGTACAGAATTACACAGTAGCCCTTGAGTCCAGCATTCATCCAAACAGGTTTAAACCAGCTCTGAATGTCCACCTTCAGCAGAGAAAGTGTGTACAAAGTTCGTAGAGACCCTCTCCACAGAATATAGGTCTGTGAATCAATGAAATCACTATTAGAATGATGAAAGAGTAATACGAGTCAAATACACCCTATGCTGTGCCGTATGAAGGGAGTACAGGAAGTCATGGGATTGAACACAAAACTTCCCAGCAGAGCACAGTTGTTAAGCAAGCTCTCTTACCTTGGATTTAGCTGAGTCGCTGTTGGTTGAATCTGAAATCGGAAAGAAGGAGAGGGGAGGTTAGAGCAGTGCTGTTGGGATGTCCACTAGTGGGTCAGTGTCACTGGAGGGGGGGGTGGGAGGGGTGCAGAGATCTGGCCACAGGACTGAAGCACAAACCTCTCATCTTGAGGAGGCACTGCTTCAGTGGAGTTTTGCTTGGGTGCAGGTGTGTGCGTTTTTGGAGAAGCTGTAAATTACGAAGGATTCCAAGTCCCCTGCCACCTGCCCCAGCAGGAAAGTGGAAAATCCTGGGTTTTTCCCAGGGCTCGGGGGTCTAACGAGAGGCCGGTGGCTCAGGGGAGGGACCATCCTCACTCGGGCTGTGGGGTGTGTGTACCTGTGGTCACCCTGCACCCCCTCCTCAGCACCCCAGGGAGCAGACAGCACAGGAGCACAGCGCGAACACATCACAGCACACACACTGCTGGTGCTTCACCAGTGAGGAGGGAAAGCCCGGGAGCCGGGGCAGAGATGGCAGCGAGCACAGGGGCTGCTCCAACACACAGACGCACACACCGGGAAGGGACAAAAACAGGGCGTCAATGCGATGAAGTTATGGGTGAAGCTCCAAAACACAGCTGCTGGTGTGAAGTCACGCAGGTCAAAAGGCACTCACTCATGGACTGACACACAGGGGCTTCAAACACTCACATCGGCACTGAACCTGAGCGCGCACACACACACACAGACTCTCTCACAAGGCCAGAGAAATCCCAGTCCTACCGGAGAGGCTGCTCCACAGGCTCAGCTAGGAAAAAGGAGCAGAACGGTACAGAGAGAGAGAGTGGGAAGTGAGTATAAAAGGAAAAAAAAAGTCAGAGCCCTAGCTACTTTAAGAGAACTACAGCTACAGACTTTAGCCAAGTTTAAGTTCAACTATGGATTCAGAAAGCAGTGCTGGTGCAGTCTCTGAGCCACCCTGCATGAAGACACAGGGCAGTGCTGTGGTTTAGTTCTTACCAGAGGCCTCCCCTGGAAGAACTGTCCTCCCAATGTTGGACAGGAGGTGGTCAATGTTGGGGATAGGCTGCAGGTCTTCCTTGTCCACTGGCGTCTGCGATACGGGCAGATAGAAAGACACTCTGAATTTGTCTTTATTTCAAAGACATTAAGACAGAGTCACAGGTGCGATTCAGACTAAATAAGCACTCGGAGACCTAGATTAAAGAAGGGGGTTGTTTTACATTGTATTAGATCTATCTGTTGACATCTCATGCCTCATGGTTCCTGTCAGCTCTGTGAATGAGAAACGGTTGCGCTAAACTACTCACTTACACGTTAACAGAATCACAACTCATCATGTAACTCCGCATGACTTACTTTGTCATCCTTGTCGGTTTCCTCGTTGAAGAACCAGGAATGCTGGAATTCAAGAAAACACAAAACAAAACAATGAGCATCCAATCACACAAGGCAAGGGTCAAAGGTCAAAACCCATCTAGAGCAGAAAAAAGATGTCTCAACCATGTTCATGTCTCTATTAGCCACACTAAATAAGCACAGGATAGCAGGCAGGATATGTTAGGCTGGGATAATTCACTGTTACCATTTACAGATCCTTACAAAACATTAATGTTCTGGTGGATTTGTTTGTGGGCGGTTAGCATTGCTGCCTTGCAGTGTTAGGGACCTGGGTTCGATTCTGGACCTTGAATGCTATCTGTGTGGAGTCTGCATGTTCTTTCCCCAGGGAGCTGGGACACTCCCGTAATGGCTACAGTGTCCTTCTTCCCACAGGCCACGCAGGGCCGTCCCAGGAGCTGCTGTTCGGCCTGTGAGGCTGGCTGATGACCCTGCAGGGCCCGTGGCTTTCTGCTGCTGCTGACGGCATCTCGCCCTCTGTCTTGCCCGTGCCTATGGGAGGCCGTGCCGCTCTGCAGACTCGCTGACACCAAGGTTTTAGCTCTCCAGCAAAAGAGGGAGGCATGTTTTCTGTCTGCGTTTAGCTCCGAGTTCAAGCTCGAGCGGTTTCCTACTCACATGCTGGATCAGCGTCTCCACGATCTTGTAGCGGTCTGGCATGTGGGTCACCATGTCCGTCATGTTGTCCTCAGAGGTCCTCACCAGAGTGGGGCCAAACACCAGCGCCAGGTTACGGGGCTCCATCTACAGGCAGGGAGAGAGAAGGGCAGGAGGTTGGGGTGGGGAAGACCAGTAATGCTACTGCGCTGAGCGATTGAAACAAAGGTAATTGCAAGGCGCTACTTTAGAAAGAAACTGCGAATTACAAAAATGATGACGGCATGATATTACGTCTTTGTTACTTATTAATTCATGCTGATCATAAAGGAAATTGCTATTCCAAGAAGCAGGTTTTTGGACCTGCGTTAAGTTGGCATCCAGAGCACTGCATGCCTTTTCCCTGGGGCCCTGTGTGGGATTTCTCCACGTTTAGTGTGAGCGCTGGGACTCACCTTATTTTTCTCCGAGTGATCTGCCACAGTCTTGAGATGGCCAACCAGGAACTTGAGTGTGTGGTAGTAGTGAGCTGGCAGGTCATGGATCTAGACAGCGGGAGAGTAAGACAGAACTGTTCACTGGCCGGACTGGGAGGACAGTGGAAAGCTCCTGCCTGGAAGGTCATGGGTTCGAGTCCCCGCTGCAGACACTACTGCCGTACCCTTGAACAATACACATCAGCGCCACACCTGCGGTCCAGCCAGCTGTGTCAAAATAGACCAACACGCTGGGCATAACCCTTCACGGACCAGCATCCCAGTGAGGAGGATTAACTGGGATTAGCTTTGATCCACTCTCTGCTAGACTTGAGAGCTACCTGTGATTGGTAACCAACAAAAAATACTATTTTATTTCACCTGTGTTTAATCAATAGAGCATTTATTATGCATCCTATCCTGTGTGCTCCATGCACTTTTCCTATTGTAGATACAGCAGAGAATTCTTAATTCTCAGACAGGATTTATGTCCCAGAATGCCACGCCAGGGGTCTGAAGAGTTGCCCGTAAAGAGGTACAGTAATGCTACCATGTGCCAGGGGTTGAATGGAGCCTGTTTCCTCTCCCTGCCCCAAATCCACCCCCTTATCCCATTCCCTGAAACCCCTGTCCCACTGCCTTTCCGCCCTGCTCCTCTGGCCAGTACCCACCAGCTTCTTCATGGTCTTCAGCCTCTCCCCAGCATCCTCCATCCTGTTGGCATCGATGAAGTCATTGTACTTGTCTGTAGGAATGAGAGGGAGGGTCAGGATGCTTCTCATTATTATACAGCCAGCAGCAGTATCAGCCTGCAGCTCACAGCTGGCAGCCCACTGGATCTCGGCAGGTGTGAGCCTGGTCAGTAACCTGGATGGGAGACTCCTGGGGAAGAACTAAGGATGCTGCTGGAAGAGGTGTTAGTGGGATCAGTAGGGGGCACTCACCCTGCTGTCTGTGTGGGTCCTAATGCGCTGCCCTCCAGATGAGACATAGAACTGAGGTCCTGACTCTCTGTGGTCATTAAAAATCCCAGGCCAAGAGTAAGGATGCTGCCCTTGCCAAACTCCCCCCCTGGCCTGTTACCAATCATGGGCTCCTAATAATCCCCATCTCTGAACTGGCTTCGTCACTCTGTTCTCCTCCCCACTGAGAGCTGGTGTGTGGGGAGCGTACTGGCGCACTATGGCTGCTGTCAAATCATCCAGGTAGGGGATACACACTGGGGGTGGAGGGGAGTCCCCATTACCTGTAAAGTACTTTGAGTGGAGTGTCCTGAAAAGCGCTATAAAAGTGTAAAGATCATTACTATAAACTCTCAGCCACCAGAGCAGAACTCTAAAGCCACCTTTTCCTTAGACCTAGCCCAGCTATGGTAACAGAACGTGCCTGTGCCTGCCCCGTTTCTGAAGAAATCACCTTGTCCAAGGCTGGCCTACTATCATTATCTTGAGACAGTGGCATTAGCGCTCCTGGATCAATGTTGAAGCCCCTGGCGCAGGCCGGAATGGTAGTTTAATGCCACAGATCTCCCGGGCCGAGCCGAGGGGAAGACAGCCTGGCCCTCCCCGGGTGCGATCAGGGAGTGCGTGCGCTCTCTGAACTCAAGAGGGAAACTCACCGTCGGTGAACAGGGGCTCCGGCAGCTTCCTGAAGAAAGACTTGAGCAAGCTGCTGATCACATTCAGGTCCTGCCATTTCTGGGGGCGACAGAAGACAGAGTCAGATACTCTTCCACCTGCTCAACAGCGCAACACACAGCAGCCACCGCCAGCGACGAGGGATCATCGGCATCTGGCTGGTTTCTTGGCTCAGCTTACACCTCCCACATATTTCACGACTGTACAAAAAAATCCAGACTTCAGCGTAAGAAATTCTTAAAGGTGCAGGCTCTGTTCTGCCTATAGTCCAAGAATCAAGTCAAGAATCTTGCTGTAACAAAGACACAGTCTGGAAAATCTTTTATTCTTGTGGCTGAGCCTAATAAGCACAAGCACAGGGCCTCACCTCATCTGAAGGGTTGATGTCAATGCCCTTGTTGAGCTGATCCTGTAGGCTGGATACCACTGCGTTGTTGCCTGGCACTCTGTAGATACCCGTGTACTCCAGACCCATCTCCTCCACCAGCCCACAGCAGATCTCCACGATCAGAGGGATGAACTGGGGGGAGGAGAGAGACCACATAGCACTGAGCACCAAGTATTTCATCCAGCCATTTTTTTTTAAAGGAGCCAGGAGTATCAGCTTTAACAGCAAGGCTGGTCACAAAAGAGGCCCCGAACAGGCATGGACAGCATGTCAAGACAGCGCCTGACCACAGGGAAGCCTGAGATGTGAAAAGGCCTGGCATCACCCAAACATAGTAGGAGATCTACAGATCTACCCTGCAAGGTTTGTTTGTTTTTAGACCTGAACAAAAACAGCACTGTCTCACTTCGTTGTGACTGAGATGAAGATGGAGGGCGAGGGAGATGAGGCCTCACCTTGTTGCTGATGGCCGGCTGGCAGTCCTCCAGCCTCACCCCGAAAGCTTTGGGCCCCGACTTCTTGGGCTTCTTCATGATGTTGATTCCCCAGGGCGACTTGGGCGGGCTGCTCTCATCTGGGCAGGCGGGACAGAGCAGGGGACAGAGCGGTCAGTCAGCGGAGCAGCGCAGGAGGAAATCAGTTGCCAGTTCTAGCCTATCCTAAGAGCAGCGATCAAACAGTCCGTCTAGACAACTCCGCAAACTTCTAAAAAGCTTCAGAAGATCCAGAAGTCACAGAATATTTTCTCAAGGAACCTCAATTTCAGCAGCTTTCTTGACTGAACCGGCTAACTCCAACACCCTTGGCTGTGAAAGCTTTGGAAAGCCGGGGGAAGGGACTGGAGAAGGCAGGATGCTTCTCACCTTTCCCGGAGGAGTCCGTCTTGGGGGAGCGGGGTGCCCCAGTGGCGTTGTCCATCTTGGTCAGCAGGAACGGCGGCTTAATCCGGGCCGCCCTGGGAGAGGAGTCGGGCTTGCCGCCTGTAGGACTGCACAGAGACCGGGACAGCCCGGAGTCACCTCTCAACACACATGGCTAACCCATAACAACAAGAGTGATGAGATGGATTTATTATTTAGAATGACAAAATGCTGGGCTCCGGTAAGGGTTCTTATTTCTAGCATTAATCAGAGAAAGGCACAGCTAATAATAATTTAAAACATGCAGGAGAGGACTACAACACAGCTCTGTTCTCAGTCCCTCTCCCGCCCCAGACTAGGTCTTTGTTATGCTTTGAAATGAGGAACACAAACCTAAACACAAACACACAAAAGAGCAGCTTACAAGTCATAATGGCAAAAACCCAGCAGCACTGCTGCGCATACCATGACCACCCCACGCCCACCTGCCCCGTCACCCGGGTTCACCTGTGTTTCCTGTACTCGTTCAGCTTCTTACTGATGAGCGCGTGCCCTGAGAAACCAGACTCCTGTCAAGGATGCAAAGAACAGATCTTTAGCACTGCGGGACTAGGAGGCCCTCAGGCACGAGCAGCAATCACACAAAACAGCGTGCTTGCAGCCAGCTTTCAAAACACAACCTCTCTCCTTTGGCCAGGATTTGTCAGGAGATAGGGAGCCTATCCTCAGCTCTGGTACCTGATCGCTCTGCTGGTTTGTGGGACAGGGCCACGCACACAGTGCACTCATGAGGACATTTAAGAACAAGAGGAAGACATTCCTCCCGCCTGACCGGTTTGGGAATTATTTTTTAAGCGATCCAAATATCTCATCCAGCCATTTCTTGAAAGAAGCCAGGGTATCGGCTTTCACAGCACGGGCGGTCAGCTGATTCCACACTCCCACAACTCTTTGGGTAAAGACGTGCCTGCTGTTTTCAGTTTCATAGGGTCCGCTTCCCGCTTCACAGTTCACTCACCTCGCTGTCCGTCTTGCCGTTTTCCCGGATGGCCTTGATCCAGCTCAGCATGTCCTCGCGGTCCTCGGCCTGCAGCAGGTACTCGCAGAAGTCCTGCGTGGTGAGCCGCAGGGCGTGCTTGCGCTTGGTCTCGCTGTAGGCGATGTCCACCAGGCAGCCTCGGATGCTGATTGGCTGCTCGTCCTCGCAGGGCCCCGCCTGCAGCAGCACTGCCTCCCGCTTGTCCTTGTACAGGAAGAGCGAGTGGGAGCGCATCACCGAGTACACGCGCTTCCACGGCCGCATCCCGCTGCCCACCTTCTGCAACACACACAGAGACACGAGCGTCAGGCACGTGCACTTCTGCAACACACACACAGACACGAGGGTCAGGCATGTGCACTTCTGCAACACACACA